TGCCTTTGCCTAGGAGCGGAGGGGAGAGACAATTTGAAGCCACTTTATGACGCTGTGTCATGTGATTCCAAAATGGCAGTGCCTATGCAACGGTGGGTGAAAAGATCTAGAATTTTAGAAATAAATTGGAGGGATGGCATGAAACCATTGGTAGCGGTCTGCTCTGCTGGCTCGTATGCGACGGGGGTTCACCATCACTCTGATGCAATCACTGTACCAAAGTGCTTGCCCTATTGTGCTGCACTCTACTTCATCAAAATAGAGAATTTGCACCACCAATGTGTTGAAAAATATATTTCCTCAATGCTCAAACTATTTGTTAAAGCTTCGTTATATGCCACTGTCTTATAGCAGATAGTTTTCAACTTTTGATTATTGCTTGATTTACTGTAGGTATGAAAACTTTTAGGAAACTGCAGCAGCTGACCACATGGTCACCCCCTGGCCAAAGCGAGGGGTGTCCTGCAGCCTGTTTGGAAGCCTAGCTTGTAGCCCAAGCTACTCTTGCATTAGTAGCAGACTGCATTTGGAAGACAGTGTGGCTGTAGCTAGCTTCAGTTGCTGCATTGGAATGTGCATCTATTGACATGCTTTCGCTCTGCGTAGATTGTTGAGGCTTGCAAGATGCCAAAGCATTGCCAAATGTAGGAAGCTCCTCCCTGCCATTCTCGTCTTACATTTGGTCCTCGAGGCACACTCAAGTTGGTACAAAAACATGTGATGGTCTACTGAACACCCAGACACGATTCAAGCGATATGTTAGATATCGTCGTTAACGGAATGCGAATGGCTGGGAGTGTCTTACAAATGTCCGGCCTCTATGCATTGCCGAAGGTAGGAAGCTCGTGCTGGAGGCAGGGAACTGAGGTTTCTCCCAGTGTCCTCACCTAGTGAGCGACTTTTAAAAGTGGCAATGCTACACCATGCAATAAAGGTTTTTACGAAACCAATTTGTGGTTGATCTTATCAAAAGCATGTTATAAATCAAATTATATGAACTTGCTCCAGTCAAGAAATGGTGCTGTGTATTCAAATTTACATAAAATAGCTTTTCCTGAGCAACCTTCGAAAAAAAAATTGCATTGAATAGTGCCGCTTTTTAACTGGAGTAAAAAGACCCATGTCTGTATATAACTATCTAGACACTTTCAAACGAGCATACAGTAAGGAAACGAGGCAATGAATCTCTACCCTATACATGTCACCAGCGTCCTTTACTTGTACTACGAGACCTCTTCCAGCACAATGGAAGATCATGATTTCTCGGAGATGAAATGCATGCTTGAATAAAGGGGCAAACAAATCGGCCGCCCTTAACAATGAAACAAGATATAAAATCTGCACACACAGAACAGCCTGGTTTTAATTTCTTTATTGCTTATAACATTTTGGTGTCAACTGGATTGATTGCTGCAATGCTATTAGTCGATATTGGTGAAAAAAAAAAGATGTGCTTGCATTGACCAAAGTGTGAACATTGTAAAAACATTTTTCAGCAAACACAGATCTCCAACAATATCCAGTCCCGCTGGGCAATGGTAGCAATACATGTACAAACATTCTCACATCTAGGTCAGTTGACAAGCTTCTGAAAACGCCAGACGCCTTTTTGCGGTGCGTCTGCTCAGTGGCGCCTGCCACACTATCAGCCCGCCCTATGGACAGATCCGGTGGAATGTTCGATGCACATTACCTGCAGTGAAAAGTGATTTTATTGTGGTTCTTATAGGCTCTTAGGCACCTGTTTCCGCATTTAGCGGTGTCGCCGTCTATGTAACTACCTCACTAAATTTAGCAGGAAATTGAATTGGTGTCGAGGTCATGTGACGTCAATTTTCCCGCTAAATCTAGCGGAGAAACTGAATTTGTTCATGGGTGTTAGTCATCTGACATCATTTTCCCCACTAAATTTGTGTTGGGTCACATTTCCCTGCCAAATTTAGCGGGGAAACTTAACCCGCTAAATTGGGCAGGAAATATAGCTAACATTTTCTGCTAAATTGGAGGGAAAGGAGATGTAAACCCTCCCCTCCTCGTCAAGTGCTGTGTTCTCCTTTCGCATTACAGAGAATTGTAAATGTCTCATTTTTTTTAACGCTGCTCTTCCGTGGAACTTCTCAACCGATAGATCTGAGAACATTGGCGTGTACCGCCTGAGCGGAGGCATCTGTTTTCCCAAGCACCGGTTTTGAAACCCCCCTTTTCTTGAAGCCTTTCAAGAAGACGCTCAGTTAAAGGGCAACTCCACTCCATACTTTCGAGTTTGGGATTATGACTGTTTTTAATGCAGTCAGCAACCCTGAATTGCAAGGTGTAATTCTTTTCTCGTTATTGTGCGTATTTTTAAAGATATCGACACCTGAAAGTTTTGTTTGGGGCGCGGCCAACAAAACCGAAACTAGCCGCTAGAGGCCCCGGCAACACTGGAAATCAGCTGCTATGTGAACGTGACGTCACGATCGTTCTCAATCAACGAGTACACAGGCCAAGCGGCACCTACCTCTGTTGCGCTAGCCGTCTAAGGATAGGAAGTAAGCTGATTTTGTTTTAATTCTGTGTATGTGGTAGTTATCCAGCATATGTAGCAAGAGTTAGTGCATATACCCAAAAGCTAGCGACTAGAAAACCCGTGAACTCGTACGGTGCCGTACTCGGCGGCTTTTGCCGTGTGCGCGGTCTTGCATACTCGTCGCTAGGCCTAAATTGTCATCAGGGCTCCGTGGATGGAGCGGCAATGGTCTACGCTGCGCTGCCAGTGACGTACAGTACTGGAGGCCCCCTTGCTTTCGCGTGGCGGGTCAGTTCGAGACACGAAGCCTCAAAGCCCGAACACACGTGTGCTGGGCTGTACGCGTCTATATTTTCTTTTTTTTCCTCAGGCGCGTAAAAGCCGGAGTCCAAAGTCCACTTGCCGAACAGCGTTCACCCACACCTTCTCCAATTTCCGGTCCGTTGGAAACTTGTGAAAAAGCACCTCCGTGCTGCGCAGCGGGTTGTTTGAGCATCCCACAGCGCTGCAAGTTGCACTCGGCATCTTTCGAGGAACAGCTGGGCAGTCTTGGGCGCACCGAGTTGCTCGCTAAAACGAGTCTTGGAGTTCTCGCAAGCAAATAAACAAAAGGCTATACCGAAGCTACATGGGCTACAGATAAAAGCAACAGCTAAACACGCCAATCACAAGCCAAAGTAGCGGTGGTAGCAGCTCAGAGAAGCGCACTCCGCAAAACGCCTGGACCGGAGAAAAAAAAGAATGATACTGACGTCACGGCCCAATGTTGCTTAAGCGATCGGCCGCCCGCTAAGGAGCAGCGGCTCGCGGTGGGTCGCATATTTATCATCAGCATTAGTTGAGAATGCGGCGTCCCACGGACGTAATATTTTGGCTGGGGTCGTATTTTGTGTCACTACAGCGATACCAGTAATTTATTTCATTTTGAGTTTTGGCCGGAGTTGCCCTTTAAGAGAAAATGGTGACAAACAACCTTTTAGAAGATTTGTTTTTAGAAATACGCAATCCACTGAACTTGGCTGCATGCTCTAGCATTTGCTTGTTCCGCCTTCGCCAATGACAAAGCCGAGCCGGTCAGTCAGCAAGTCGGTCACTTGGGCGGCCACCATTTCAGAGTATGATAGACAAGTTTTCGTGCAAGTCACAACCCTGCTGTTTTCACAATAATAATTTTACGTTCTGCCTGGTTTAGGGCCTAACAAAGAGGAGTGGGTGCTCAAAGTATAGGTCAACAAGCCTCACTGAATCGTGCGGTAGCCTTTAGCGTCTTTCAGATTTGCTTACAACAATCGAATGGATTCACTAAACGGTGCTCTTCTACAACTGCTTGTTGTAGGTGCAGTACATTCTTTTAGCATAAAATAAAGGCACACAGCTAAAGCACCTCAGTAATGCCTAGTAGGTAGCGAAACAAATTTCTCTAACAAAGCGTGCGTGGTTACCGAGACATCACGTTATTCAGAGTGCAGATGCAGAGTATAACCACTGTACAGCTTTGTCTCCGTATTTGCATTATCTTCCAAGGTATTGTCCAGGTACAGGCGGCACTGCCGAGCAGACAAGCAAATTAAATATTTAACTACCAGCACCATTACCGTCTTGCTTCGGCAAAACAAAAGCGGTTCTTGCAATTGCGCAACATAAAAAGAATAGTGCAGGTAGAGCTGCATGGTACCTACGTTTCTGGATATTTGCTAGCAAAATAGCAGGTATTGAAAACAGGAAAATTAACCAGAAAGTGTGATGGGTTTGGGAAGGAAAGAAACGTAGACAAAAGGCAAGCAGTTCAGAGGAGACGACCCACCGAGCTCGAGCTAACGCTGTACGAAGAACAATCTGAACCTGAAATACTACTTCCTGTATAAACACAAGATACCCACGATATTACACGATAAATAGCCACCAAAATTAACGTACCAATTAGGCAGTGCTGTTCGTAAGTCGCGTAAATCGCCGAAGTCACAGAACGTTCACGAAACAAAACGGCCATCTTGGAAAAATCAAAATAGTGATGGTGATAGCGATGAGTCTTCTGTAAAAACTTCGAGGACAAATGTAATCACTTTTTTTTCGTATTCTTGTTTTAATTAATGTAAGGAACACATATTCATCTTAGCAGAAACTAAAATCATGGCAACAAAATAGCCTAAAGTTTGAACATTTAGTTGTGCCGAAATACACTTGGTAATGTCTATAAACCTTGTTTCAGTAATTAAATGCAAACAGAACACAGACTTGGAAACCCTTGCTGATAGCCTTTCCTTGCAAGTGTGAATGGTCAAAAGCCGATGCAATGATAGGCTGAAATACTTAGGGGATAGCATGCTTAAAGTGGCCAGAAATATTAAACGGGGTATATCTATCGTCTTTCCATCAAACTTTTCGGAGCTTAATCTTCTCAATAATTACCTTCTCTCATGTTTCGCAGTAATCCGTGGCATGGATTCACCACACTATTTCTGTCAAGTGTGGCAAGAGGTATGCACCACCATCAGAAAAAAATATGACAATTTATTTAATTACGACAGGAAGCCACGAAAGGTGAAGATGGCAAGACCCGATCCACCAAAAAGGAGTGGGCCTAAGAGTGCAGTCTTGGTCCATGATTCACGACTGTAACCTATGACGAATGCAGAGAACAAAGGAGTCCATCAGGTCAACAGGAACCAATATCTGACCCGAACATGCAGGGCAATGCAGAGCAGGGGCAAATTTATGGGTCAGCCTGGGGGGGAAGGGAGATGATATCATGGGCAAAATGTTGCCCAGATCTGTTTTGTTAACCTAATATTTGTTATGTCACTAAACACCGTTACTAAAACGCTCAGTTGGAAAACTCACTCTTGGAACCTGGACCGCTGGCGTTCACCGAGACGAAACTAAATACGACAACAGCGCCACCCTTTTGCGACGAGTTAAGACATGCAAGTTGTTTTATTTAGCTAATGCAAAATGGCCCTGCGAGATGGCGCCACGTAGAGTTCCTGTATAGGCTCTTTACAGGAGCCATAGTTGCATGACTGTTTTCCACGTACCGCCGCACCGCTACTCACCGAGATGCGATCATGTGAAGAGCAGACTCAAATGCCGTGCACGAAAGTACACATTGCACGCATCCTGGCATACGTTGAGCGCACCGTGCTGCCATTCGCCGAATTCAGTCACATCAGGAGCAGGCTCCATATGCCGTGAAGGAAAGACGGTGCTACGGGGATGAACACGCAACTCCGGCTCCCGTAGGGAGCCTATTCAGGAACTTTAGTGCCACTGGCTCTTCTGCGACTCGACGGAACCACTAAGTGTAGCCGTGGAGTTTCCTTAGTAGCTGCTGTGGGAGAAAGGGCGGCGTTGCAACAGACTTCTTCCAAAACTGACGCGCCCCATCGCGGCAAAATACCACGCAGTGCCCTCTGGGAACTAGTTGGCCACTTAGTTTTGGTTTCCACTGAGCAGCTTCATCTCATGCTATCACGCCGCGACCGAATATGCTGCTCGCGTTTTCGATTATCTGAATATTTTACGAATGAACAATACACTCATTCTCAAGTGATACAAAACGAAGACTGGGCACTTTCCTTGGTTCCAAAAACACTGGATATTATGCGTGCGTATGCAAACATAGTAAGACGTGGCTTAGTGACCTCACCCCACGAGTGCATCTTTGAGCTCAATTTCCGTAATCCCGTCTAGTTAGTACCAGCGCACTAGAACTGAAATTTTGTCACCTTGAGCCTTACACGTATTTTGTGAGCCAAACGTCTGCTCCTTGTTACTTCATTGGGCGAAAAGCAAGCCACATCCTCACAGGAGTATCAAAGTTGAGCCCACCGTTGGCGCATTAACTTTTAAGGAAACACAATAAATTCAACCTCACTACTGCACAAAAGTTACTATGATGTCTTCCTCATGTCATCACATATCTCACATCTCACACACAAATTTTAAACTGATAGAAGATTAAATTTTCGCAAACGCTAAGATCGGCTAGCTACGACGGAGGCCCTAACAAGCGCCCCCTACTCCTCACTAAGCCTTCTTGGACAAGCTTTTACTAACCCTCAAGATCTGTGCCTGAACGGTGTGTCTGAAATTATCTCGGCATACTCAGTCAGGAAGAAAGCAAACACATAAATATTATGGCCATTAGCAACCGTCAAATGCGCTTTGAATAATTTCGTTCGTTCGGCGCACCGCAGAATTCATGCCCGTCCAGTGCACTTCCAGTGAACGGTGCAACATTGTTCACACAAGTGCTCGACTTCTGCTTTCTTTTTTTGTATGTGCGAATGTACCTATATTATTGCAGGCTAACTTTATGAGCATACGCGATGTTGAATATTAGTGGAAGGGGAGCGGGCGGGGATTTCACTTCGTGCAGTGCTGTGGGGCAGTACAGATAAGAGATGAGAAGTGTGTTCGAATGGAGCTTTTCAATGGCGCGTCCGAGTTTTACTTCGCATACTCAGGCGCATTAAAAAAAAAGAGTAATTGCAAAAAGTTGCATTTCGTCTATGAATGCACAAAAAAAAAAAAAAAAAAAAAACTTCCTGATCAACAACACTAATGTAAAGGCGCGAGCTCGATGTATGCATACTTATTGGTTGCTACAGCTTGTTGATTCGTACACAAGCAAGACCCCCCCAGCTTCACAGCGTCGAGATTCCCAGCACTGGCTCGTCCACATACCTCGAAACGCTAACAAAAAGGCTCAAGTACAAAAATACAACAAGCATCTATACATCTCAGGCTTGTGCTAAAGCTTCGAGGTCTGGCCATTTAGGTTAGTTTAAAGACCACAAATGGCGTTCTCGGGACCAGAAAACATGAAATAACGGCCGTTTATAGTCCACACTTCGTGTATAATCTCTTGTCGACGTATTGATCGAAACCATGCCACTCTCCTCCCTGGCTAACTAGTTCCCAGAGTGCAACGCGTGCCGTGTTGCATGCAGGAATTTATGGAAGTAGTCTATTGCGTTTAGTTCGGTTCTCGAGTGTGGATGGAAGCCACTAATCATTTCTTCCTAACAAAAGCTGGCATATGTAGATTTTTCACTGAAAAAAGTTAACCTGGGGGCCCTAGTCCCCCCACCCTTAAAATCTGCCCATGATGCATGTGCCAAGAAAATGAGGGAGAAGAGTGGAAGAGAGCACGCGGGGACGTCAGTACACCCGAGCTCTGGTTAGAAGGATTGGTGGGTACACCTAAAGCTAGCTGCCTTTGTCTCCACTGCACTCGTCGAGGACGTTTGAATGCGAGAGCCAAACACTGGACGCCCGCGTTCTGTAGTCGAACGTGTTCAACGAGTGCAGCAGAAACAAAGGCTGCCTTTATCCCCACTGCACTCGTCAAACGCATTTGAATGCAAATGCGAAACGCTGGACACCGACGTTCTGCACGTGCAGTACAGACAAAGGCAGTTAGCTTTAGGTTTACCCACTGATCGTTCCAATCGGAGCTCTGCGTTTTAACATTCCTGCACCCTCATTCCCTCCTCTCTCTCAATTTCTTGGCACATAGAGTTCTGGAAGTTTAACAACAGTGGCTAGTGAAAAATCCAACAGACATGACATCCACAAAAAAAAAAAGCAGCTTTCTTTGGGATTTTTTAAAGGTGTTCTAAATTGCACAGCACTCATAGGATCTCTTCGCACTTGACCCATCGCCCGTAGCACACTTCAGGACTAATCGCCAGAAGACCGTCCCACACGATCTCGCAGGTCCCCCGAAAATGGGAGACGTGCGGAGGATTGCGAGAATAGGCCAGCAGGGTGGCATACTCTCCCTGACACGATTCGGAACGAGCACGCTTAAAGCCAGACGACTCCAGAAGGAACGTCTGCATGTCCGCAGCTTACGTCCCCTTGTGGGAGGGAAACCAGTGGCTCCCACAACAGACACTCACTTTTCCATTAACAAAATTATTGAGACTTCTTCAATACAGCCGTCAAATAAAGCAATCGTGCTCAGCTGCTGAAGAGCTGCGCTTGTTTTGACGTTCAGTAGGTGCACCGAGAACTCCAACTCGAGTTACTCCGTTCGGAGCCGAGGGAGCCGCTACTGAACGCACCATCACCACTACTGCAAGGGAGGTCACGTGGAAATATTGTGTCCCTGAACTGCTCCTGCCGCTTCAAACACCTTAGAGTTGTCAGAGCTGCTCGTCGGTTTCAAGTCGTACCCAAACCCAGCAATGGGTGTCGCTGCGGAGGGGGGAATAACTCATCAGCTGCCCAAAAACTATATGAGTAACTTATCCCATGAGTAGTGGGCCTTATAGCAAGCTCGTTTCAAACGCACTGGCATTATGCGAGTCATCTCCCAGAGTGCACCGCACTCGTGGAGTGCCGCATGAAGAACCGGTCTCAATCTAACTTACAGAGTGCAGCCTGATGCTGTCACCATTTGCATTGTAGTAAGAGTGCAGACCTCAAACTGAAATTAGCGCTCCGCTGTTCGACATGACGGGCAGGAATGCGATTGTGAGTTGCTGCAACAAGCAGTTTACATCTGTAATGACTTCAAACAGCTCGGCTGTAAGAGATATTTACAGATGGCATTAGTTCCTGTCACAAGCTCAGTACAAAACAGCTGTAACTTTTTGTTAAACGATACACTGGAAAAAAACTGTTTGCGCAAAAGCTTGATCAGAGCAAACGCAAGAAATTTGAAGGCTAGGCACGCCTTGCGGAACAAAAGGATGCCCACACAACGCTTTCTCTGAAGTGTGCTCCTTCTGTACGAACAGCCCAAGTTAATTTTAGGGTTGGAATATTTTTTGCCAGTTTCACGCTATTTTGGATGGGTGCGAACTTGGTGGCGGGCTCAGTCTCGTCGTAAAGCGGTACTCGGTCTTGTTGACTGATATTGCCGTTTCATTTGACACTGCGATGTGCAACACTCTCGAAGCTAGCTAGCTGTAGGGCACGTGTCATTCTTGATTATCGCCGCTTGTCCAGAAATCTCTGTGACACTTGTTAAAAATGCAAGCTATTACCCTCGAGAATCCAGACATAATTTTTAAAAAGTGCAGGACTGTGGAGAGGCAGCGCAACTTGCTTTGATCAGAATCGTGGTGCAATCAACAAGAGCTTGTTTGACTCCTCGTCAAGTGACGGTATAGTGACTCGTGCCCCTGAACGCTTGGATGCCCTCAAGCACCAACGTCCTGGACACATTCTGTCGAAGAACTTTTGCAAGTGTAATCCTAGGGCTACCTTTGCTGCTTGTAGTGCTACTAGAGTTGGAATGAAATTCCATGTCCAGCATTGAGTCTCTGCCATGGTGTTTGCCAAGCTGAAAAACTGTGCTTCTGTGTTAGCAGCCAGTCAAACAACTGTGCCAAAAACAGCCCGTCGTTGAGAAAAGGGTGAAACTTCCTCATTTTGAATGTGATTCAGCTGTATGAGCGAGAGTTCCCGCCAGAGTCACGGACCTGCACCAATAGCTTTATTCCCCTCAAACTTTTTACTGAAAAGGGTGTAGACCTATATTTAGGATCTGGAACAGTTTGATTTGGTCCTCGGTCGTGCAGTCACTCAAGTCCGGAAATATAGGGACTACAAATGTCGGGATGGGCAGGTCTTTGGGCTCTTAAAGGGGCCCTCCGGAGCGTTCTGCGATGGTCTGTTTATGGTGGTAACTCAATCTACAGGCCCTAAGGATCCTAAAAATCATAAAATTACGGTCATGCGTGGCGGATTTCCCTATTAAAGTAGCTATCAAAGTCCCCGGCACGCCCCCCTTTCTGAGATGACCCCGGAAAACGGGAGGGGCATCTCTTTATGCGTCAGCCAATAGCAAGCGAAGGATTCTGGCGTCTCTGCGCGTCACCAACGCGGCCGACCGCCGATCCGCGGAGGAATCTCTCGAACACGTGCGGACCGTCGTCGTCAAGGAGCCCGGACTTAGTGCTCGGCAGTCGTCGTTCGTCGCACCGCACCATCGCGCTGCTGCTGCAATACGCAGTCGCATTGCACAGATGACAAGGAAAAGTTTGACTCGTTGACGTGGAAGGATCGCAAAGCTGGCTTCGGAGTCGGGATCCATGGGAAGAAGGAACACGTGTCCCGCAAACGCACGCCTGCAGACGCCCCGGGAAGCAGACGAGCCGACGCATCACCCCCTAGCAAGAAGCTTGCGGGGAGAAAACATAGTTCGCTGGTTTTGGAGCAATAATTGCGGACTATGTTTCCTGCACCACAACCAGTTTACGTTTTTCTCAAACTCTAATTTAAAACAAGCTTAAAAAGTGTTGCAATAATAATGTTCGCATTCACCCCGAGATGCAGCATTTCCATTGGTCAAGTTTTAGCGATGGGCAGGGAATGGGGGATTGTCTTCCAAGAGAAAATAGTCCCGATATATTTCTTCTGCCATCCGCTTAATAAACGGTTTTGTAATCTAAAACTTTGGATACATATTAACTTGCACCTACTACGCAATATAACATAAACAGACGATCGCAGAAAGCTATGAAGGGCCCCTTTAAGGACACCGAAAGAGGGCAACAAAAACCTAAAATAGGCACTCTAAAAATCAAACCTTTATCTGTTTAATTTGCTCACCTTCTGTGATGCGACACGCCATCACATTCTACTCCGTTTCACCTTGTGTTGTACCACAGCCGACTATACGAGCCACCGGAGCCAATCCAACTCTTTGTCGCTGCCAGATGACACTGTGCTCGACGTGCCGTTGCGCCCAACAGACAGGCCACGTGACACACCTTCGGCACTGGATTGGCTCCGATGGCTCGCAACATTCAGAGTAAAGTGCGGTATTGCATTTTGTGCTCTAGTAACTCACCACTGCCGAACTGCTACGCCAGAAGCACTCAGTAGACCCCACCAACTCTGCTGCCCCTACGCTCCATTCACCCCTACGCTGACAGGGTGGTAGAAGCCATGTGGTTGGTGGGCCAAGCTATTATTGCCTCATGTCCGACCTGCACATCTGTATGAGAAAGGGGCGTGATAAGTGATGCAAGACTGACAATCGGCTGGTTCACCGAGCATGTAGCCTTCAGTGCCCTGTCAGTTAAGGGGTGAATGAAGTCTAAAGTTGGTATATAACAGCTGGAGATTTTGCCATTTGGCGGTATGGCAGCGCGAAGTGGCTCCCGTTCTGAACTGATATTTACCCCTTGTTTGCTGTCGTTTGTGGCCTATGAAGTGTTATGCCCAACTAGTCTTTAATCGTGCAGCAAATGCAATGCGAGCCGCCCTCACCGCCCGCTCCATACAGCCTATCCAACACGTGCTTTAGTGGCGCCCCCTCGAGCCGTCGACACGGAGTGCGGCAGCCGTGAGCACTCGCTGACCTCACTATCCCTCGTCTAGTTCACGGCCACTCAAGCCAGGACCTACGACGTCATGAAGGAGGTTATTTTTTGCTTGTTTTTGTAATTCTAATTTGCCTATAACTTTTAAAATAAAGCGAAATTTGAGAAAAGAAAAGGTTCATTAAGTTTCTACGTTCAGTGCGCTCAGGATCGGTGCAAATTAAAAATCAGTCAAAATGTTGTTGCAGGGCCCCTTCAAGGGGTGAATGAAGTCTAAAGTTGATATACAACAGCTGTCTACTGTCCCACTCTCAGGCATGCCACCCTTGACCAGTCCAGTCGTTGATCTTTAAGCAGGGTTAAGCAATGACTGCCTCGTGCCACCAAACATGAAGGTGTCCACGGAACAAAGCCGCATTTGTGTCTACTCGCACCTTTGAGAAAATTGGTCCTGCCATAACCCACACCTCGTCAAGGTAAAAAACTTTTGGGCCCTTTATTTCCTGTGTTGTACAATACCCCAAGAGGTAGCTCTGTTGAAACAGAACTATCTTGAACCCCTCGATCAGAAGCGAGGCCCCTTGCGGCCATTCAGCGCCGTCTACTCATTCATACATGTTGCTCCTTTCGACAAAATGTCTGTGGCGACAGCTGGAGCTAGTGAAAAAGCGGACACCATAGCTCTTCCCAAAGCACCCTGTTCTTCCTCAAGAGCGGCTAGTTCATCCAGGAACAGTGCAATGGTGCTTGGTGGTCTGTGATCGCAGACCACCATCATAGCCCCACCAACGGCGGTGGCGGCAACCCCCCACTGACGTCACTCAGGTGACAAGCATTTCACTCGCATGACGTGACTCCAAGCCATACTCACTATGGCTGGCGACAACCCATAAAAGGCATGCGCTGGCCCTTTGACCCACGCGGAGTGCAGTGCAGGAAGTGGAACGGCATCGGTGACCCAGTCGCTGCAGTTACCCAGAACTGTTTTACTGCTGTCTCGGCGAAGGTGCAGGCCCGCTGTTTGATGCACGTAGGTAGAAGCCATCAGCCGCAAGCATCAGACACCTGGGGTGGAAAATTTTGCACCCAACAAAACAATAACCATGAGAAGAGTGGTCTAGCCAGTGAATTGCAAAAACATAAAAAGCAGGCACATAAAACCTTGTCTTGCAAAAACACAAAAAGCAGGCACATATAGAAGTATTTCTGTTACCTCGTCTCATGCTCAAGCATTATTTTGGATAGTATAGTATAATGCCTGTCTCGCAGTGGCTGTCTGAACAAAATGTAGTAGAAAATACAACCAGTTGAATACCAAAGGAGAAGTAGAACAGAGAGGCACTTATTTGTTGTCACTTTAACATGCACATTATGGAAGAGCACAACTCTTCGCGATTAACCTGTAGCAGAATCGCTTAGCAGTTCTGCTGCAGGTGTGAATGTACCACGAGGCAGAATACAGCATTTGTGCAGAAAACACCATCGCAGGCCTACCAGGATGAACAGTAACATTATTACCCGCCACAAATTCGACGCGCCGGGAGGGCCATTCGCGAAGCGTGATCTGTTTGTAAATCCGGTCTTTCGACAGAACGCTTTTGTGACTGCACGAGCTCGTCAAAAGCTGACATTCCCAACGCGCTTGGTCCTTCTTTAAGTGCGATTACTGAATGCAAATGCGGCGCAGGCGGCACCCGGGAGCCACATGTCACTCCCGTTGATTATCTCTACTATCTTCTTTGTCCCCGACGCTACGTGAGGTAGCCAAGCGCTATCAAATTCCACCACTGAGGTGTCGCATCGACGATCGAACGCCACCAGAGTAGGTAAATTCCACTCACCTTTTACGTTCCGAACAAGCGTCCCACGGGCCTCCATGTGGCGAGACGGGGCCTGCTAGCTTGCATGAATGCGCTGTGAACTTCACTGCCGACGCTCGTTCCCAAGCATTGAATATCACGACCAACTCCACTCGGCAATACGGCGGCACATAACACGACAACGTATAATACAAGAAAGACCGTTGGAACCGACGCGACCGCTCCAAGAGCACCCAACAAACACTTGGAGAAACAAAAAGTAAAAACAAAAAATAAAATGGAAACAAGCAAAAACAAACAAAACAAAAACTTTTGTCACTTCCGGTTTGTGTTGCTTTTGCTTGTTTTTGCTTTTTTCTCTCAGCCAATAGGCGTTGCAACCTTACTGCGGCGAAACGCTCGTGGCGATTCTGGCCGAGGGAGTGTTCGCATGCACGTTACAAATGACCTGCAAGCTCGCTATCAGCTCGCGCTCAGCAGACGCGCACACAGCTGTGGCCGCAAGTGAATGCGACTTAGTTGGCCGTGTTCCAAAATTTACTCGATCTTACTCCAGGATAAGGTGTTTATACCTTGGCGTTCTAAAACCTACCCGCGTCCAGCGTTTTTCAATATCTGTCTTGTCACGTGACACGACCCGTCGGAGTAACTCGGATCCGTTTGGGTAAGATTTGGAACGCAGCCGTAGTTCTGAAGCGGCCCATATATACTCTCGTCAAGCTTCGGGGTGTTTGCCGCTTGGGGCGGGTCGGGGATCTACTAACCTCTGCTACTAACGAAACGTCATGCGCAGGCCTTGTCTTCTAGGTGGTATTGGCTGGGCGTGTTCCAGGGCGTCTTCAGAAATTTGAATGCGACCAACCAGAAGCCGGAAATAATACCCTGGCGGTGGTCGCGAGAAACAAACCTGATAACTGCATTGGAGTAACTCTCAATGGGTGAAAATATGGTGCACGTGATGTTTCAATCACGTTAATCTAAAATGATGGATGTAGAGTGCGACTAGCGGAACGATCGACATGATCCGTACGCTAAGCGCCCAGGGCAGGGAGTCTGCCGACCGAACGGTCCGCGCAAAACAGAGTTGCGCGGCGCATTTGTTTCCTACATCTTTCTGCATGATTATGATCAAAACAACACGTGTACCCTATTTTCAACCACAAAGAGTTGCTACACTTCACTCTTACGCGCTTATTAAAACCATATACGAACATAGACTTTTGATCAGAACTGTTTGCCGCTACCACCGCTAGGGGATTCTTTTCGGCTTCTGGTTGGTCAAGAGCAAGGAGGTTAGAAGTACTAGGAGGGGGCACGTTGCAATATTGGTGAAGCCTAGTCATAAAAAGTTTAAACGATTTTGTGCCCAGCGTGACCACAGATCTCTCAGGCGATTGGTGCGCGTGACATGTCACGTGTGAGATGGATGGTTGATTGTAGAAGGACTCCTTGCAGGCTTGCGCGCGCTCCGTCCGGTAGGTTTTATCAGGTCGAAGTCTAGACTGTGGTGTGTTCTAGTACCCCACAGCCAGACGATGTCTAGCTAAGGTCACGTGATGTGGTCACGTTGGCATGGTAAGTGAGGAGAGTAAGGAGGAAAATGAGAAAGAGGCGAGGCGTCAAGGGAGCATGGCTTGTGGAGGCTACGCGGTCGACGTCATGCCCTCTCCTACCCTTCTATTCTCCATGGTCAAGAAAGCATGCCAGGCCCTCTTTCCGAGTCTGCCGCACGCCCTGGCTCTGCCCGCGCCTCCCATTGACCAAACTCTCTACATATACGGCTCTGGTCCGATTGGGTCCGATCCAGGGCTCTGGTCCGATCTATATCCATCACTGATCTCTATGTCTATTTGCTGGATCGCGTTTGACCAGCTCCTCCTATGGAGCGGAATGCGGTCACTGGCGGCCATCTTTAGGTAGAGTTATATCATCTCTAGCCATCATAGTAATATGGCGGACAGCGCAATGGCGGCAGGCTGCCATAAAAATAGCCATAGATCTAGTACACTGTACCGTGGGTGACATTTCGTGCTTGATTGAAGTTGTTCGACGAAGCAGATTCTTGAAACCCGGCGTGAACGGTAGCCTCATCTTTGAGGACCCGACAAAAGTTCTACGAAAGCGCAGCACCGGGGGAAAGCAGCGCAGCTCGCATCAAAAGCAGACTCCGTACCGTCGTCTGCTTTCGATGCTTCTTTCGATGCGACTTTCGATACGTGCTGTGCTGCTTTTCTTCCGGTGCTGCGATTTCGTGAAACTTTTACCAGGTCCTCAAAAACCGGACTGCTGTTCACGCCGGGTTTCAAAAACATGTTTCGTCAAATAATTTTAATCAAGCACGCAATATCACCCACGCTATTTTGATCGCAGCCTGCCAACCCACCTGCCAAAACGCTATCTGACATGGATGGATGATAGCGGCTGCAGCAGCTTACATTGGCTAGAGGTGATATAACTCTACCTAAAGATGGCCGCCAGTGACCGCATTCGCGGAGCGGGCAAACGCGATGGATCCAAGCATCCATCCATCTTTGCCGAATCCAGGTTCGGCGAAAATTCGGCCTTGCCGCATCCTAAGATTCGGCGCCGAATTTTGGATTCGGCAAAAGTTCGGCTCATCGCGATGACGTCACAGACGTGAAAATAGCATGATAGCAGGCTCAGTTATTCTGACGTTTCGCGCTTGCTCCTTGCTCTTTCGGTTTTTTCCTTGTCAAGTGGTTTGCATTGGATGTCACACTGATTCGTCTCTGCCAACGTTGGTCCCTGCGGTCTCGGTTGCGGTAGTAGCAACTTCATCCCATCTGCCGGCGCTGCGCAGCTCGTCGCACACTGCTGCCCGTTGTAGTGGGTGTAGCTTCGAAGCCGAGAACTTCAAGCCGTATTCAGTCAGTCGGTGTGGTGTACTGCTCGGAATGGCTTCGGGTGAGCGTTTTCGCCCCTTATTTTTAGATTGTCACTGCTCGGCACCGCCTCGTTCTTGCAGCGTTGGCGCCTTCAGGAAGTTCGGACGTTCAGGCTGAGGTAACTGAAACTTTACGTCTTGGTTATGACGACAAAAATAGCCACAGTTTGTCGTTCTTGCATAGAAACCGGAGTGACATCTCACGTGATAAAACGCGTGATGCCGCTGGAAACTTGACACAGGTGATTGTGGCACACATGCTCTCTGCGAGCACTTTTTAAATTTGACTCGTCAGCTTGCTTTCGTCTCAGTGAACAGTAGTCGCTTTTGGCAGATATTTGCCGGCCGGTTAACCGCCCACCCCTTGTCTGTGTAAAACGAACGACTTGGAGGAGACAAAACAATCGTGGCGAAACTTGATAACCGTCTGCGCTCACGCAGCGGCGTAGGTACGGAGTGTGGACGGAACAGCTGGTGGCTATAATTTCAACAAACTGCGTTGAATACATTCCAAGAGTTGCAGCTACTCACAAATTTAGCATTCAAAAGCTCACTATCACCATTAGGTAGCCAACCAGGGAGCTATAAAAGTTGCTGTTGAAGAGTGTTATCAGTTGCTTAAGCTTAAATGTGATTAAAACTTCAGATATTTACCCTTTTTTTCACTCTCAGTAAGATATTGAGTTACAACATCATAGTTGTAAAACGTCCCATTGCATGAGCATCAAGGTTACCACGATTGCTAACCTATCTCTAGTGGTAATTTTGATTCAGCACGGTGCTCCCCATACAGTCAGAGGTTTTTACGTCAATGCACACCACACGCACACCAGCCGACCGTGGAGTGATGTGAACTGCGACCCTGCATTCTATGCGAGCCTGTGCTTTGAACTTCCACAGTATGTGGTGGAACTTGCTGCTAAAAGTTAATACCCTGGCCTATTGCATGCTTTGGAGGCCTTCATACAGCGCTTATGAAACAAGCAGTAAGAGGTTTCCTTTTTTTTATAAAGAGAAGTAATTACAACATTCACGAGAGGACGCTTTCCACTGGCAGCATTGTTCTTTGAGAAAGACATGCCTTGCCATTTTCATTCCGTCAATGACTATCAAAGCAAAAATCTTGCTAAATATAAGGTATTTAAAAATATATATATTTCTGATAAGAAATATGTGCTCTTCTGTGTCACCATGATTGTTTGCAGAATGGCTTTTATCGGGGTCACATGTAGCGATTGAAGTGCATGTCAAACATGGGATGAGGACAATTCATCATATGCGCACTCGTTGCAGGCCGACTGATAACAGGACGATTCATCGCATAGGAACAGTCGTCATAGGGTGACTCGTCCATTGGACAGCTGGTCACATTGACAGCGCAGGGAAGGATATAATAATCTACAAGTCACAATTTTCAGTAACTAGCTATGTTTCCTGTCGCCTGAGCTGTTGGAACAATAGATTGGGTTGCAAATTCATGCAATGTCGGAGGATCTGCATAATCATTCGAGCATGCATAAATACCCCATATTTGTTTCAAGTTACGAGAAATAATGTATATGTATAAATATACTCGGAATAGGAAATACTTGGGAAAGAAATTTTACCATTCTGATATAGGAAGTTCAAGACTTCAAAACACGGTGTCTCGAGTTGCTACACTGGGCTGTCAATGCGGCAGGTGGTGTCGTACTGTCCTGCATTAATGTGTTTTTGCCTGTTGCAGTCGGCATGTCTATTTTATTTTTAACACTCCTGTAAAGGCCCGCTCACACACTTGCAACTGAGTAGGACCGACTGAGACAAGACCGCCTGTTAAGCCTCTTGCGACGGCGTAGGACCAGCGATGCAGCAGCGCATCCAGTTTTACGTTGTAGCAAGAGGTTTAAAGGCCAGGATAGAAGCGCCGAAGGACAGGGACAAAGTGAAGGAGGTAACGACAACACAGAGTGGACTAAATTGAAGCGCCTTCGGCGCTTTTATCCAGCCATGAACCAACTAGCCCACCTGAACAACTTTGTTAAAAGCCGGTCTCTTCTCGGCCGGTCCTACTTGGTTGCTAGTGTGTGAACGGGCCTTAAACGTTTCTGCCTCCTTCAGCCTGTGAGATCTTCATTTTATCAACGTCGAAGTGGTGACGAAGTGGGCATTGCAAACTTTGTGACATCACAATGGCCAAAGGAGTGCCTGATAAAATGTTATGTGGAGTTTTACGTTTTTTTATTGTAACATAAACAAGTAATTAAAAGCGCAAATATTTCAGTGCTAAATGTAGAAAAGGTTTTGGCACACACCTGCTGGTTAGACGACTATGCAGATCTCGGTTGGGTCCACCACGGGGATATGGTTGCTTGAAATGGGCAATAATGCAACTGGCAAACGAATCAGTTGTAAGCTTTTCTTTCTATCAAGATCTTTTGCGGCAACTCCACTACAACAGTGCGTTGTTCTTCTGTTATATGTACTTACACTGAAACCTGTTGTGAGTCAGCATCGCTGCACCTTTCTCCGTTGCAATCACCTCTATTTTTGGGTATGAAATGAGTTTGACAGTAGTCGTTCTCAAGTTGCTGCGACGTGTCCCGTTCGGGACACATTTGCTTCAGTTTCTTCACCCACAATCAACCATACTGACCTTGTAGGGGCCTTGCCTGGTCGACCTGAATCAAACAATAATATATTTTTGGAGACCAACCATCATGCGTCGGGTTGCCCCCATGCCGAATCATCCTATGACCAATGTTACGCAGTTATCAATGGGCCTGTTACCAATCGTCCAGTGACAAAGAGACCATATCCCGTCAAACGTGCCCCCAGCATGGCCACTTAGCACAGCTTTCATTTCATTCACAAGACTAAGCGAAGCTGCAGGAGACCACTTCAATTTTTGCAAAAAACTCTTCCTTCTTTTTGTCTAGTATGCACAGCTGCAGGAACAGTGTTTTGTCACTCCTAGTGGGGGGTGATCGATGGCCGAGTGTGTTAAAGCACTGCAGCTTGGCGCACGTGGAGCAAAAGCTCCACTTGCACTTTTGCTTCACGTGCTGAAATCGGCAGGGGTAGAGAATCAACCCAGTGATCTGGGTTGATTCTCTACGACCTACTGCAGTTGTAGTAGCCACTTCGAGAGTGCAGTGTCGTGTTGAAATGTACGTCAAGTACTGCCACCGTGCTTTGTTTCTTTTTTCCACCTCCTAATGGTACCCTCTGCCACTTGTATGCTTCTAGCTCTGCAGAAGGATGTCCTGGAAAAGTTCCAGAAGGAGTTCCTAAAGGACCCAAAGAACAGGCTGGCCCAGAATGTTTGCACCAAAGTGGACTTGAAGGATGTGTACCTCAGCCACCAGACCTCCACCAATGTACATCACGTGGTGTCTCACAAGGTAGGATCATGTGCAGTTTTTTACAGTCTTGGACAAGTTCCTTTAAAAAATAGCTTGGGTTATTTCTCTAAAAAAGAGTAGCGAGGTTACCCTTAGTTACTGCAACAAAGAAGTAACTCATTATAGTTACGACGACATTGCTTTTCAGCTACTTTTCCATTACAAAAAAAAAGGCGAAAATCAGTTTTTTTTTTTTAAGTTCCTTAGGATGAAATGCAAATAAAGTATCCAAATTACTTCATACTGTTAACAAGCACCAGTTCTTGTTTGCTTGGAATTGTCTAGAAGTTTCCCTCTTTCTATGGTGAACGCATCCCTGTCATTGCTGAACATGCGTGACTTGTGAGAAAATATACATATCCACAAGTTGGCACAGAGCGAACGGGGCACTAAAAATGGCGGAACTAGGAATTTGGAAAGTGCTAGGGATGGCTATTGTATTCATTCGACATCTCAATCTTCAAGAAACTGAAGAGATGATGAAAGTAACCTAGTTACTTTCAGCATTGCTCAAGAAAGACTAATAGGACCACAAAGTCACGTTTACATAGTTACAAGTTATATTTAGAAAAAGTAGTGCATTAGAGCTAATTAAAACGAAAAAGAAGTTGCAGTAATCCGTTGCTTGTAATCCGTTACTATCGAGACTGGCTTTCTTCAGACAGCCTCTTTGTGCAACTAATTCTGTTGTGTGTTTGTTTAGACATTGGGAAGTTGGTCACCCCCCAACGGGCATTTGGTGTCTCTGCCGTAGATCAGAAATGTTTCCACTGTGGTATATAGCCTGGGGTCTTCAACATGCATCATGCAGTAATGACACACAATTGCACGCCGGTACAATGCTCATCCAGAATGAAATGGGCAGGAACGAGGATTGAATCTTCCTCTTCGTCAGTTGTGCCATTCAGATTCATGGGAGGAACGGTTGTTGAAAGATAATCCATTCACACTGCAGTGCCAAATTTAGTGCCTGTCATATAACCGTTGATCTTCATGAGAATCCACTATATGAATTTATAGTGCTATTGGTTCCTTCGCACTTTGCTGCACATTTTTTCGTCTTCAAGTACATACACAAATTTTTTTTTTTGAAATCCTAATTCTTCCCAGTGCTCTGGAGGCTCTGATTGGGGAATCTTTTGGTCCCCATACTCTGTTTAGCTTTAAGTTGAGTCTGAGTCTAAAGCTACAAGTGCCAGCTAGCTCCTGGCTTTGAGACGTGACTTCTTAGCGCGAGGGTTCGTTCTGCGGAGGAAAGTTTGAAGGCCGAGCTCTTGTGCTTGTAGCCTCGGCTACAGTCTCGGCTTAAGGGTGAATGGAGTATACCCTAAATTAGCCCTATCATTTGATCTTTCTAAGGAAGTGGCATTTTATTCCCTATTTCTTTGGTACAAAAACACTAGGTCACTACATGTACTCAAATTGCTCATTACATATATGATCAGGTCATCTAAGAGTATTCCTAATAGAATTCTCTAAAATTTGGTTTTACCCAGCACATATGAGATAGTCGCAGTGAGCAGTTTGCAAGGGGCACTTCTGTTTTCCTCACTATGGTAGTGCATGTGCTACCCACGTGGTTATGCTTTAATTTTCATAGTGCATAGAAGCTTGGCATTGCACATGCTTGCACCAGCAGAGGAAGTTGAAGTATTTTTGCTCTGGACTGTGAAGAAATTCCCCTAGGCGGTGATTCCCAAACACCTCGCCGTGAATACCTAGTATATGGCTTTCCATTTATGACTATTTTTTAAGAGCGTTACTCATACCAGCGCTCCTCCTGGAAAAGGTTGGTTTTTGCTTTCCCGCATAGGCAGATGTTGCGAGGGGCAGTGTTATTATGTTCAGTTAGCTTTGCCCTGCGGCATGCTTGTGCTATGCTATGCCACTGCCAATACTTTTAACCAACAGCAGTTCTCGTGGGAACTGCTCGTGCTTTTTGTGCCTGTTTCATAATTGCACTAGATAACAGAAAGTATAAAACAGAGAGAGGACGAAACACAGACGAGTACATTCTTTCAACTCTCAACAAAGTTTATTCCATGGGGTGCGAACGTATGTTCCCCTGCGCAGACTTAGGGAAAGGGGGGAAAAGGGCAGAGGCAGAGGGGGAGTAAGAGGAAGGAAGGGAGGGTGGGAGAGGCAGCTGGGTGCGTGGACTCGTTGGGGTCGGGCCGCTCACCGAGGTCGTCTAATCACCCCGGACAGCTCTTGGCTCAGATAATCTATCTCTCTATCGGAGAGGGCTAGCGAGGTGGAAGAGACATTGACGACGGAGTTTTTTTATCGCAAAAGATTCGATAACTTCCCTGCCGAATCTCTGAGGATGGCAAGCTAGCACGCGCGTATTTTTGAACCTTGGCTTACATCCTCCACATGTGCGACGATGTGCTGCAATCGGGTGCACCGTTTCCTCGCTGGGATCGGCGACCTCTCGGAAGTGCTCCCTCAGGCGGTCATTTAGGCACCGGCCCGTTTGCCCGATATATCTAGTGCATCGTACCAACACGCTCGTTAGGAATATAATTCATAATTGCCCTCATCCGCATTGTCGCCATACTATGACTGACTGCAGATTGTCTAAACGCTTGGTGCCTAGTTTGCTCTTACTTTGCTTTTTCTTTTGTTTGGTTTTGCTTCACCTTGATAAGGGCCAAACTTGGTGCAGTGGAGCCCTCAGCTGCGAGCAGCAGCATCTTTTTAATTACTTGTTTGAGATATGCTGATAAAATATTTGATGTGTTAGAGTAGATTTGGAGTGCTCAAGGCAAGTTATCGGCATTGGTGGCTTGTTAACACATTTGAACCCAGAAACTGAGGAAATTTGGTGCTGCTGCTTTGAAATGTCTTTTCTTTGCCAGCTTTCTGGCTTGAATAGCACAAGTCAGATAAAACGCAATTGTATGTTGCAGCAGCTTGATTAGTTTCCCCGTCTTTATTCGTGGGCTCACTTTCCTCTTGGAGTAGAGAAAGATAAAGTTGTTCTTTTGAAATTCGGTAGCTATGAAATTTTATGAAATAGATAAACGCCTTAAAGTGTGTCCAGGATTAATTGGCGCATGTAGATATCACCGGAAAATTCGCCGTCAAATGGCAATGGCATTGAATGTGGTCTTGTCGATGCTTATTTAGTACCGTGTGGAATTAGTGTCTGCAACGAACAACTTTGTACTGGAAATTTGGGAGTGAGCCTGCTTGGTAATAATAGCTTCTGACAATAAAGTAGTGCTTGTCTCAGGGTTAAGAATGCAATGTTTCGTAACCAGCTTACCTGTCTTCGCAACTCTAACGCCCCATAAATGGCAGGGTGATAGTTCCAAGATGGCGGAAGAGACTTGGATAGATTTTCTGTGCCCCTGCTTGCCGACGCTGGTCGGTATGCTTAAATTATTTTGCTTGGCTACAAATGCAGTGATAGAAGTGCTGTGTCATTTGTACCAGATTGCTTCATTAACGAAAGTCTGCCACATCTTGAGCCGAAATGGCATTTGAGCTCAAATTGCGGAACACCTGCGCCAAGATGGGCTTAAAGCAAGAAAATTAATATTTTATTATTGATGGACTTTAATATTTAGAGAAGTAGAAGGAGAAAAAAATGGGACAATATCAATTTCATGGCATCTCTACTCACCAAATTGTTTGTTTCATCTTAACCTTGAACGCACATACTAAAAGGTAGGGTACAAGGTAAAAGAAGTCGCTCCAGTATTTTTGTTAGAGTGGAGAGATCATAGACACTTTGCGCTGCAGATTGTTTTCGTGCCTTCTTGGCTTCGTCTTTTTCACGCGCGCTTTTGTCTGTGCCCAGGTGGACATCGAGGGCAAGCCTGTGACCAACCAGAGGGTCTCCGGTCGCTGCTGGATCTTCGCCTGTCTCAACGCCATCCGTGTGCCCATGATGCGGCACCTTCAGCTCGAGGAGCTGGAGCTGAGCGCGGCCTACCTCTTCTTCTGGGACAAGGCAAGTACAGGGGGACTTTCGAATGTATCTTTGACCGGTGTGTCTTGCGTCTCATTCCGTCCCCGCATTGAAGGCAGTCTCGACGTGGCAATGAATGACATCGCGGAAGCCGGCGTGTCACTCTCTCGGACGTCGTGATCCCGTCGGTCGGTCGTAGAAACGCCGGTGAAAAGTGCGTTCGAACGCAAGTCGGTCTTTGTGGCGTCCCGGCTCCCGGCTGCCACAGCTTTTATGGACCGTCGAGCTGAAGAGAGACCTGCGGCAAAGCGTGCAACTGCCACGTCGTACCACCACTGCTACGACACCGCCAGGATCGCAGTTGGCGACGACATGTCGTTTTTGTGATGGCAGCGTGGCATGACTTGTGTTCTTGTGTGAAGCGGTAAATTAATAAATAAAACCGTATCCTGCAACCAGAAAAGAACAAAAAAAGAAATAGTGCATTACTTGCATAGGAAACAAGCGAAATCATCATTCCCTTGTGCAGGACGAGAGGAGTGGCTTCTTTCCACGAAAAACGTTGGCACTCTCGCGGGAAGTTCTGGGAAGCTTTCAGTCCGAATTGAGCTCTACTGTACGCCGTCGGAATCCGCGTCGAGTCTTGGGCAGTGCAATCTTCCAACCGTCGCGAGGTTCATGGTGCATCCGCCCATCCGGGTCTTGAGTGCCCTCTGCCTGTGCCTCTCCCTGCAGGTAGAGCGGTGCAACTTCTTCCTGAACAGCATGGTGGAGACAGCGCGCAGGGGGGAACCCGTGGACGGGCGCCTGGTCTCGTTCCTGCTCAAGGATCCCCTGAACGACGGTGGACAGTGGGACATGCTGTACAACCTTATCACAAAGTATGGCCTCATGCCCAAGAGGTGCTTTGCCGAGACCCTCTGCTCAGAGTCCAGCGGCCGGCTCAACACGTTGCTCAGTAGCAAGGTGCGTGGACCGGCCTAGTCGTGCCTCGGTCACATGTCAGTCGGCCCCTCGGTATAGGTTGTATTCACTGGCAGTCATAGCCGAGCTCGCTGTTGCTTTCAAACCACCGGGAAAGAGAGAGAGGGGAAAGATGCTTTTGTACGAATTTTGAGTGGCAAGTGAATCTTCTATAATCTTCTAAAGGGAGAATAGCGACGTTTGGGGAAGCCTGGGACCTACAAAGGAGGAGTCCTGGTGATAGAATTTCTCCTTCCCCTCTTCTCTTGCGGTTTCCCTAGAGCTGACGGGAAATTCTTCCCAGGCATGCGCTGTGGGCAGTTACCTCAAATATGGTGTCCAGTGAATACCACCTATAGACCCTTCAGAGTGCGACGGCATGTACGAGTAAGCCATACATTTAAAACCTTGAAATGCTCGTCTGTATCAGAAATACAAAATCTGTGCAAACTGGAAAACACTACGCTCTTGAAAGTTTTGCTGTAGCAAGAACTGTTTTTTTTGTCAAAACCTTCCCCCTCTTAAAGGGTAACTGCAAAGAAAAAGTGTTTTTTTAAACAGCCTAATTGGGACAAGCATGTCGCAAAACAAATGTTCCGCAAAAAAAATTTTTTTTAGCAATATTTACACTACAGGACGTAATTTAGTCAGAGTCGGAACCTCTCCACATTTGAAACTCCCGCTCTTTCGACCCCCGCGGGGGAGAAGTACGCCTTGACTTGGCTGCGGAGTTGAACGATGCAGCATCTTGACTTCCGGTAAGATCTGGCAACAACGCACATTAAACATGGCGTCAGTATTTTTTTGGTTTGACGGGACACAAAAAGCTGCGCAATTTGAGAGCACATAGCGAACACGTGACCTGAGAAGTGCCCCTGTGATGTTCCCAGAAGACGGAAAGTATCATCCGTAATCGTCGTGTGTGCTTTGAAGGCGAAGGGAGTCATAGGGTCCACGAGTGCGCAGCCACAGGCCAACGTTCACGACAGTGCTGCATTGACTCCGGCGATCTCATTCTATTTGGTACAACACGGCGATTCGACAAAGAACTGAAATGTTTGTGGTGTGTGTGGTGCGGTGCTTGGAAGTAGACACCCACAGTAACACGGAGCGCAAATTGGTTGTTGTTGGGTTGAGGTTCAATGGGTTCAGTCCCATCGTCGTCAGCTGATCCAGTCAAACTGGTCCGAGAGGACGTAGCGAGCGTTTTTAAAAGTAAATCTTCCTTCGTTCAGTTTCAAAATGTGGAAGATTCCCGACGCATACCGTGAGTAAAAAGCTGCGGGCGTTTTCAACAAAATTACGTCGTTTTAATTGAACAATGGGCTTAGAATTGTCCTAAATCTGCCGTTTTTATGCTTCGTGTTGCACTGCATTTGCACAGCGACGTGTTGCGCTCATCGTACAGTGTGAATAAATTTGGGCAAGATTTCCTACCTGCCCACAGATGCCTGAACTGAGAACATTTTTTACGTAGTGAACATAGTGCTTTTTTTTATTTGGGAAGTGGCGTTGTGCATTTATTACGGTACAATCACTTGAGAGTTCAGAAATTGGGGAGGGCGAGCAAGCTTTCCGAACTTTGTCTCTTTGCTCTCTGGCACTGCCCCTAGTTTCAAGTTGGTTTCAGTAGACATACCTACTAGCGGCCAGCAGGTAAAAGACTGGGAAGTCGGGACGGTGCGGACTCCATGTTTCGCGCTTTTCGCAAGGTGACTGGGGAAGTGCTTTTGCAAGTTATGTGGAATATGCAACTGATTTTGTTATGCCCGTCGTTTGCGTCTCTCCAGCTAAATGAATAAGATAATCTACAAAGTCGCAATCACAAGCCAAGATTTACGATAACAGTACACGTTCATTCAAACAACTTTACGTCAAATGGTTTGGAAGGCGAGAAAAAAAAATTTGTCGGCTAACGCAGAATTCGGACGTCTAAAGGCTTCTGCGGACAGCTATTACGTTGTGCCAGGTTTTTTTACGTAACAGATGTGTCTAGTCACGGACGTCTGGTCGACGGCCTCTGGAGCAATATGACGAGAACGTAACTGGACACGTTTGTCACTATGCGAATGCCCGATTGCCTCCAGCCAAATAGCATTCCTTTTCGGGGCGACATGGCTGCTGGAAGGCTCGTTGTCGGGATCACCCATCTGACATCTCCAAAAAAGTCGACATTTGCACGTGCAAGCAAAAAAAAAGCATGCTAAGCAAGCAAAGAGGAAAACGAAAGAACCGCGCTATGAAAGCCAAAACCCCGCGTCGCTTCTTATCACTAACACCTGCGACAGCTGCTAAACACACACTACTTCACTTCAAGAAGTCTCACTCAAGCACCTGGGTCGGCACGAAACACTGATCTCTTCGGCGAAATGACTAGTCGAGGTAGACAAGACAGGCGGGAGCAGAGTCTTCGGCGGCCATGAAAGAAGGGCGAAGCTTTTGTTTGTTATGGTATGAATCCAAACGGAAGTGCCCGTCTTGTAAACCTTTTGTAAAGAATAATAACTCATCACATGGGTTATTCTTTAAACATAAGAATAAGCTGCTCAAAAGGAAATTACAACATAACAAAGGTTTAGCAACCAAGATCTAAGCTGTCAATCAATCTCTTAGCCAATGAGAAGTATAGCAGCCGTTTGGGGCTAAATGTCACGGAACACCAATTTTTTGGCGCACAAATTTAAACTGATGAAATAGCCGCAAACTAAAATCTATCTTACGCAATAAATATTGCTGATATTACTGTGAGCATTTTTTTTCTCGCGGAAAAATAGTTTTTTGACATGCTTGTCCAAATTAGACTGTTTAAAAAAAGCTTTTTTCTTTGAAGTTACCTTTTAAAGGGCAACTCCAGTTGAGACCGAAACCAAAATAAATTAGTGCTATCACTTTAGTGGCACGAATTATGAACACAACCGAAATATTACGTCCAAGTGAAGTTGCATACTCCACTAAACTCTTTTTTAGATACGACCAGCTGCTCTTTAGTGGGCTGCGAGCGGGTTAGCTTTTAGTCATGGAACACTGGCGCAGCACCCTCCTGACGTCACGTCGCGGTAAAAACTACCACAACGTGAAAAAAAAAAAATTTGCCACGTGTGCGCACTTCTTTTTATTTTTGGCATTTTCCTCTTCCTCTTCTCGCCTCCTCGCTTTTTCTTTTTTATTTGTGACATCAAAAATTATGAAATTTAGAGGGGATCTTGGTAAAGTTGGCAGAGATCCCGAGAGCTTTTACGGCATTGTGCGCCTTCTCAGGTTCTCCTCTTGCACTGACTGTGCTGGAACTTTGTGAACTTTTTTGGAAGAGCTTTTGTGGATGTTCTGTGCATCAAATGGCAAAATGAGTGATATTTGTGATTCTGGGAGACAAATGAGGACGATTCTACCTTTCTTAATTGAACACAGGTATTTTAGTGCCATTGCAGCTGTGCCATTTCTTTTTTGCTTCCAGTTGCGAGAGTATGCCAGAGATTTGCGCCAACTCGTTGAGAAAGGCTGCTCAGATGCCGACATCCAGCCAAGGATCGAACAAATGATGGAGACGGTAAGTTGCTAGAATATTTTCCTGCCTTCTCCAGTCTTGTTATTCACCTCATAGTGACCCGACGTACCTACCCAGTTATAGCTAGTGCTTCGTTTGGTTTGTTTGTTGTCAAGTTGGCAAGCATAATTGACCCGAATTTACCTTGCAACTTTATTATTTTGTATTATTAAATGTACACATCAAGTGTTAATTTCATGGTGTTGTGGCGATTTTTCAGTGTTCTGTGCATGTTTCAAAGCACCTACTTTAATGCACATACAGTGTGTACTCTTGCATCCGTGGTCTGAAAGAACTTCCGAGGCTCCTCAAGTAAGGCTCATCTGGGTTCAGTAATTTTAAATGCAGCTGCGAACACTTGCTTTTACATTCTCATGATTTGCCTTAAATTTGTTTTTCTTGTGTTTCTGCCCTGAAATACTTAAAGAATGTGAATTTTGTCCGTCGTTCAGGTGCTTTAGATACGAAGGAAGTTATATCTGTTTGGTTCCCTAGCTAAATTTGCCTTCATGGGCTAGTAATTTCTTATCTATGCTTTTCGTAAAGTAAATGCACGTCGTGTTTATTCCACTAAGCTCTTTGGTTTACAGTACGCCCCACAAGGAAAAAGGCTCCTTAGGTGAACAACTAATTCACCCGCTTTACCAAGCCCCCGACAAATAAAGTGGGTGACAGGGTGTGCTTATGTAGCAAATGAGTGTTCCTGGACCTATGCTGCAGATGCATGTCGCAGACCACTATAGACCATTCAGATACTAATCGTCTTCTGCAAGTTACCATCTATGTCTGCCAGGCTGTGGAATGTGTTCAGAGCTTGCACGGTGGCTTTCTTTGTCAGCCTACGTCTTTGCAATGCGTCAATTCCGTTCTCTTTTCTGCGGAATGTCGGTCACCACACACGCATCAACAGTCCAGCGACTCGGAATTTCTTGCGCATGACGAGCGGTGGAAGAGTGTACGATCCCCTCCCCCCTCTTGCAGCGCGTTTTCGCACGCGCATGTCCCCCCCATTTTCGACCCGTAAACATGCGACGGGTGCGTGGTATCCCGTGTCCCCAGGTGTACCGCATAGTGTCCATCTGCCTGGGCACCCCCCCCACAACCTTCACCTGGGAGTACTACAACAAGAACAAGGTGTACTGCTCCCTGGGGCCCACGACGCCGCTCGAGTTCTATGAGAATGTGGTCAAGCCGCACTTCAACATGGACGACAAGGTGGGCCACTCTCCTCGAGTCCTCCGCTCCGTCCAGTCTGGCTCCCGTTTTTAGAGCGACTGCTCGGTACAAGAATCCTTTGCGGAGCTCGTTCGCTCGTGTCTGCGTTGGTCGCGCCGCTGCGAAATAGTGGGAGAGAGTGGCGGCAGTGGAACGTGGCCGTTGGTTTGACGTCGTTGCGTGCAAGACCCGTGGCGTTGCACTATGCCAGCACCACGTGAAGTAATCAAAGCATGCGAAGAGCCTCCTCTGCTTCCATGCAAGGTTATCGCACGAGACGGCGCCAAGTCGGCAGTTGGGCCCAGAGTCCGACGCCGAGCAGTAGGTGCATCTGTGGGACACGAGGTCCAGCGGATTGCCGATGCAGCACTCGTGTCCAATCCGTGTCTGCGCTCAATCTCGCTTTGACGACGCAAAAATGATAGTGGACGGGCTTTGATCGTTCTTGAGGGTGTTGGCCATGCGGAGGGGGGAGGGTAAGCAGTGGGCTAGCACTCCCCTCTCTCCCCTATTCCCGCTACTGCATGGGAGCAGGGGCTGCGTAGTAGGGTACAAACTGCTACAACAAAACGACAGAGTTGGACGGTTTCTCGGTGGTCGTTTCAGAGATTTTAGACTCCGTCTCGTCTCTACCGTGGGCCGGTTTGAAGTCGCGTTCGGCCGCATTAATGAGAATGAGCAAGCGATCAAATCTCGAGCCTAGAAATGGCCTCGGCGCTCGCGCTTCCTGCCCAGATCTGCCTGGTACACGACCCCCGGCCAGAGAACCCCTTTGGCCGCACGTACACGGTGGAGTACCTGGGCAACATGGTGGGTGGCCGCCGGGTCCTCTACAACAACCAGCCCCTCGAGGTGCTCATGCAGATGGTCGTGGACTCCGTCAAGGCCAACGAGGTAGGCCCTTTTGTCGCCCCCTCTCTGTGAGATTGTTTCTCGGTGGCGCTTTCTACTGAGGGTGTGCGAATACTCGAATATACGAATTCAAATCGAATAGAAAGTTCCCAAATAATTTGATTCGCGAATCGAATTCCTAGTATTCAAAACTCGAATATTCAATATATTCGGTCAAAGACGCGCGGTCGGCATGGAGCTGACAAAAAAGCCGTTTTTTCTCCCGATGTAAGCGCCGTGATGTTTGACAGACCATGCGAAAAACAGCTCTTGGTCCTACCGTTCCACAAAAATCTAACGCACAGGTTAGAAAAAAGAGATGTAACGAACGCCACAAACTTTATAGCACGCAGATTTACTCACGATTGTGACACAATCTACCCTTGAATCACAACCGAAACATCCCGTTTGCACCGCTTCCAGAGAAGAATTGTTGGGAGGCCGGAATCCCGCGCCATGCATAATTCTTTTCACGAGTAAAGCCCCTCGTTACAAATTGAAGCACCGATGTAAAACACACTTGGCCGCACTCACAGAAATCGGCGACTGCACAATCACAGAAAGAAAACCGCGGTAACCACGCTGATAAAACTAGCTGAGTTATCGTTGTTGTTCTTTTGGAACCGCAAGCCGCAAATTCTGATTCGGAACGAAACGGAACAGACGGGAAAATAGTGTGCCTAGATTTGAAAGGGTTTCCAACCGTTCGATAGCCGCGTTTGAATTACGAACTGCGAAAAGGGGACGAAAAGACGAAAGCGTCGATCGGGCAGGCAGGGCAGGCATCGTCGCCCTTCTGTTTGCTCGCCTTTTTCCACGCGACAACACAACACATGTGCAGTTACGACTAATCTGCGCTGGAGCCGTCTCCGTGGTTTCAGTTTCGCTTGCTCCCTCTTTTAAGTCAAGACTCTCTAAAACAGGATAGATAGACAAGAGAATGGATGCATAGCGGCAGTTGGACGGTGTCTTGCGCCACCTAACCACATTTTTTTTTCTTGCTTCAGATTATATTGTTTAAGCCTGTTTACTCAGATTTAACACATATCTGTTTATTTATGTGAAATAAAATCTTGGGTGCCCTTTTTCTTCTTTCAAGTGGAAACCAAATTTCTCAAAAAGCCCCTTTTCTGAGATACACAATTATTTATAAAAAAAAAAAAAAAGTTGCGGTGTAAGGTTGTGTTTTTAACAAGAAAAAAAAGGCACGCATGGCTGTAACTTTTTTTTTGTGACGTTTAGGGTAGATAGATTATATTTGTGCCACAACATTGGATCTTTAGTGCCCAACATCCAACAGCTACAGCTTTTATTTTTTTTTCACCAGAATTTTTTTTACATTTTAGCTTTTGTTCTGTACAAGATGCATATTCTGCAACAGGCGCATACTCTGCACATGTAATAATCTCATTCTCAGTGCACTTTGAAAAATTCCTACAAATAAAATCACTATTCGATATTCAATTCAATATTCGGCTTTTTTTTCTTGATTCGATTCGGTATTCGATTCGAAAACTACTATTCGGTATTCGCACACCCCTACTTCCTATGCGTTGGCGCTTGGAATGCATCCCCGATCGGCGTGCATGCCGCATCCTCGAATCCGGTCCCTTAACTTCTTCCGGACGGCGTCGTAAAAGTACCCCGCTGTTGCCCGCTGTAGGTGGCTCCCTGGCTCGACGGTCGATACGAAAAGTTTGGTAGCCATGAGGGGGAACATAGCGACAACAGCGACATTTACTCGTTTTTGTTGAAACTTCTGCGACCAGCCACCAGGTTTGCGACATCCAACAGCTCTTGCGACGACATTCGTCGCCGTTGATGCACGTGCAGGATGGCACGCCGATAAAGGACCCGTCGAGGACGGGTTCCAGGCACCACACTATGTGCCTCCCTGCTATTTGCTTTTGCATCCATTGCTGGCGTCCCCTTCTTGCCTTCTCTCGGTCTACCCCAACTGTAGTTGTCAGCCCGTAACTTCTCTTCTGATTAAGGTTGAGGGAATTTTTTTATTACAATTTATTTGGGTTCTTTAGAGCCAGAAGCTCAAATGGGCTGGAACAGCCCGGGCCTTTTACTGTTCAGGCAGCGCAGGAATAATGCGAAACGTGTGCAAACTCGATACAAGACGACGCATCCGGAGGAATGCGTAAGTGCATTAGAAAGATGCCGCACATGCACAGAAAGGAAATGTGAGAAAAGTGTGTCCCATTTACTCTGTACCCGCCCTTTGATATCCCACCTCTGCCTACCGTCTTGTCATGCTCAAACTTGATTCTACTGGTTGCGAGTCTATCGTCTACTTTGTTGAAGTCTGTTTTCGTATGCCTTCCTCGTGTGTGCTCATAGTACCCTTCTTTGTTTGCTGTGCCTGAGTCTCACTGGAGCCATAAAACAGAAAAAACGGACATCGACGAGCCTTAAGCATGTGCAGCATGTACACGAAGGTACACCCCCCTGCAATATTAAAGACCCATTAGAGAATGCATATTAAGTTCGATCTGTTGAATTCGCTTTGACAAGAACATTTCTTAGTGCAAAAAAAATAATGAATCTTCTTTCTTCCCCCCCCTCCCTCCCCTGAAAATTAGATGTGTCTGGCAAGTGTGGGCTTAACACCAACGCATAAACTAAATACACGAAATTTTTTTTTTTTTGTATTGCAGGAAACTGCCTTTGGCAGGCTTGCAGTCTCTCAAAGCTCGTGAAGTAAGCACGAGCGATTGCAAGCCTGCTAAAGGTTACTGTGTGCGTGTTCCACACGCACGAGCCTTTTCAGTGTCGGTTGTTTTTGCATGCCACTCTAATGGGACTTGGGCATTACTAAAACATCACTTGCATGGTCATTTGTTTTTGGGACAGTACAACTGCTATCTTCAACAAAATTCTCTTTCCTCTTGTTTTTTTTTTAGGCTGTGTGGTTTGGCTGCGAGGTTGCCAAGATGTTCGACCTCAAGCGCGGCATACTGGACCTGGCCCTGTACGTACTAGCTTATTTCGGAAGTCCGCTTTCTCTCGATAAACCAATGTTAGGATTGGGGGGCGCCCAGCCATTGACTTCATGGTACTGATGCTGGCAGGGGCTGAGGTTTGAAGGGGGATGCTCTCGGTGAATTTTTATTTTTGGTGGGGGTTTCTATTTCTGTGCGCTCAACCCTCCTTAGATTGAATCTTAAGGGGTAGGGCCAGCGATAACGCGTTATCGGAATTACCGGAAGTGCGAAAAGTTTTACTTCATACTGACTGGAATGCGTTAAAGTGGTGAAAGTTTTGTGTGGTGCAGCTTTTAATTGAGGATCTTTAACTAATTAGATTTTCAGAACATAAGAGAACAGTTTTTGTGCGGCGCTCTTTGCGAGTTTGGTTTAGCGACAGTGTTTTTTATAGTATGAGAGTCTCGGCTTTTTCACGCAGATGAAACCTTATTTCTGGCAGTTGTCCGCGACGCAACTCAGTCACATGTCACCTTTTTCATCTTACAATAACGTGTTTGAACCGTCGCCAGTGCAATGTTGAAGTAGTTCTGTGTTACGTCGGTTGTAACAGACTCAAGATTTCACAGAAGGTGCCCTCTCCCTCCAGACATGACTACGAGTCCGTGTTCGGGACGGAGGTGTGCCTTGGCTTGAGCAAGGCGGAGCGGCTGCTGTACGGAGAGTCCCTCATGACCCACTCCGTGCTCTTCAGCGGAGTCTCGCTCGACGTGAGTGGACGCCTGGAACAGATAGTCCCGACGGCGTTTGCGAGGCCTGGGAGACAATCTCCGGGAAGGCTTCCGCACCCTGGCCCATGCTACGACACAGAGTTCCTCAAACTCTTCCGTCTCGTAGAAGCCCTCTTGGTCTCAACATTGACATGTTGAAGAGGCTCTGAAGCCTACGGGCCTTGTAAACAATGGTGCGCCTGCTAGGGCGCGTTTGGTTCGTAGTTGTGCGTTTGGGGAACCACAAGGTCACTCTGGAGGACGCTTGGACTCGTGGGAAACCCGTTTGGAAACCCATTCTATAGCCGAACCTGCTTGATACTTTTTCCTGGCTGCTACGTCGAAAAATGTCAACCCCGGTCAACTGCCGGAAAAATGCAAACACTCTCTAAGAAAAAAATGGCTAATAACAAAATGTTGTTATAGCTCTGTCAATGCCAAGAGCTCGTGCCAGGAGACGCACTTTCACATGCTCCGGAACAAAAAAGAAACAAAGCATTCAAATAAAAAAACAAAGAAAGGATTTGGATTAAAAAAAAAAAAAAGAAACAAAAGTGGTCGGATCAAAATGGTTGGATGTCTGCTTTGTTTAAGGGGGGACACTTCCCAGAAAAAAACAATTTCTGCAAAAAAAAGTTTATTTTGAAAAATTACATATTTGCATCACTATCATTTAGAGTATTCCCAGAAAGCATTAGTTTACACTGCATAGTTAATTTTTTATAAATTGTTTTTGGTCCACCAGTGTTAAGGAAAAAGTAGAGGTTGGAGCCTTTAGAACACATTTTTTTTCCACTCCACTTTTTGGCATAAATTTCACTTCAGGAAAACTATTGTTTTGTTATTAGGTAACTTGGATTCATTTCTTGAGTTTTTCTGGGGCGAAATTTTAACGGGAAGAGAGCTATGAGCTTGTATTATTTATTTTTGTCATTTTTTGTGCTCAAGAACTAAAACTTTGGAAAAAAGGATGGAAATCTAAAAGACAGTATTTGTGTTTATGTGGCTTTTGTTACGAGAGATGGTATAATACAGAAATATAGCTCCACAGCTATCTTGCATGAACTGTTCTAAAGCAATATAACGGATGAAAATGACAAATTTATAAGTAATTCTAAAACAATAGTTTTCCTACGCAGCCACACCCACTTTCACTTTGAACATTTACAATTTTTTTATAGTTCACCCAGGTTAACAAAATTTGGCAGAAATGTTCTCAACATCAACATAAACAAGCCCTGTAAATGTCATTTAAATTGGACAAGTGGTTAAAACATTAAATTATTTGGGTAGTGTCCCCCCCTAAAACGCTTTTGTTCATGCACCCCACGGTGCACGAACATGATGCCAATGCCCAGCGACTGCCGTGACGTGTCGCCTGCAGACTTTGGTTAGGAATACAGGTAGACTCCTAATTTTAGAGAGCAATTCCGAAAAGATAAGTCTACATATATTTAAATGAATATGGTTGTTCCTCACAGTCGTAAGTCCGCATGAACTAAATTACTGTGTGCACGAGGTCCCCCAAAGCATTATTGGTTGCTGCGTTTTCCTGGATCAGGGGTCTCCAAACCCTGACCCGTGAGCCAGATCCGGCCCTCGGCTGGCCGCAGTTTTTCCAATGACGCCAGGCCCGTGGTTCGCTTCCAACACACCCACTGCTAGTGGAAAAAGAGGTGCTCATAAAGAAACAACACCATGACTCGCCTCAAATTCACAAACTAAGATACCAGAAAGAATGAGAAAAACTGCACCATAATGCAGGTCCTCTCACCGCATTATTAATTAAACATTGTCATCACCAACATAACATTCTTAGTCCCCTGCTTCATGCCTGTAACTATAGGTTTGTTCGATTTGCCTCAACTGGCTGAACTAGTTCAGCAGTGCAGGAACTGGCGCATTCTATTCATCCGAAGTTGTATGGCCGCTGCACTGGCACGTTCGATTCATCCCAGTTCCGAACGAGCTCAGACCCGGTTCAAATGTCTGCCATGCTTAACAATAGAAAATGCCGAGTCAGGTGTTACATTTCTTCTCATTGATAAAAATGTACCCCTGTTGGACGCAGAAGCGAGTTCCTAGCAGAGGATAGAAATTGGTAAGCGTTCAAAGACCGGATGGAGCAAATTGTTTGTTTTTGGTGCTGCGTGGTACTAGGTATGTTGATATTCTTAAGACACAGGAAAGGTACTGCACTCATGATAGCCCACGCCTTCGGTAGCTCTTGGATACAGACCAACGATTGCAGAGGTTCTGCGATGTAGTACATTGGCGCTCGTATGCTCCTGTAGCTCAGCATAATGCTGCATGCTTTTTAAGGCTGTTAAAGGGGCCCTGCAAGCACTTTTTTACTGGTTTTTAATTTGCACCAAACCTGAGCGCACTGACTGTAGTAACTTAATGTAACTTTTCTTTTCTCAAATTTCGCCTTATTTTAAAAGTTATAGGCAAATTAAAATTACAAAAACAAGCAAAAAATAACCTCCCTCATGACGTCCTTGGTTGCTTGAGCGGCCGTGAACTAGAGGAGGGATAGTGAGCTTAGCGAGCGCCCACGGCTGCCGCACTCCCTGTTGACGGCGCGAGAGGGCGCCACTAAAGCGTATTCTGGATAGACTGTATACAGCGGGCTGCCAGAGCGGCTCTCATTGCATTTGCTGCGCGATTAAACACTTATTCGGCATGACACTTCATTGGCCACAAACGACAGCAAACACGGGGTAAAGATCAGTTCAGAATGGGAGTCACTTTGCGCTGCCGTACCGCGAAATGGCCAAAACACAAGACAAAGCTACTCGCTGAAGGCCTTCGGAACGCTCGGAGCCGGTCGGATCCTCCAGTCCATAAACGACCGCAGCACCGCCGCGTACATCCGGGACCTTTTTGTGTCAGCGCCTGATCCCACTACTCTTTTCTAACATGCGCCGCCTTTCCCACCGCTTGGTGGCGGGTATGTCGACGGGTCATTTCTTGTTTCCGTACTTTATACACTGCATTTGTTTCTTTACTGATCTAAAATACTGAAGAAAAACTACTTTTATAAATAATTGAAACGGTTTGAGCCACTTATATTTTGTATTTCGACTAAAAAGAAGCTTTTAGCGGCTCTGACCAGTAGTAAGCACAGGACCAAAGACGTCACATTTCGCACGCTTTCGGTACCGCGGGTCGCCCCCGTCGGTGGAGGAGGTTTCCGCATCGTCCGGTTAAAATATGACTCACTGATATTTAGTTACTCTCTCCGTGCCCGTTGGCTTGCCCGAACCCCAAGAGACGTGGAAATCGCAAAAAAGGTAGATGCTTAAATATGATTGCAGGGCCCCTTTAAGGCTAGGTTCCCCAGGATTGTGTCCGGTATCAAGCGCCTGTCGACACAAACCTACCTGGACAATTACCGCCATCTATAAGCGATGGCGGCAACCAGACAACCAGTCTGGTTCCCGCCGTCGCTCATAGATGGCGGCAACCTTTCCAGCTATCATAGAAGAATGGATAGTTGGGCGCGTTGGTGGGAATTCATCGTAGGAAACAGTGCAAAAAACAGAGGATGACAACGAAGAACCACATGTAACGAGCGCAGCGTTGGTCACGTGTGTTTCTTCCTCCTTGTCTGTTTTGCGCGCTGTTTCCTACGCTCTTATCAGTTTCGGTTTGGACTTAGGATGGGTCGGCCGCGGGCCCTTTCGGGGAAAGAAGACTGGCTGCGGAAGGAGCGGCGATGTACACAGCAGCGCAAATGGGTCCGTAACCGCCGCAAAGCCGCTGTCGCCTCGACTTCCACTGCGTCGAGCGCTTCAGACTCCCTTGCCAAAGAAGAGCACATCGCTCGCCTGGAAAGCCTCCACCGAGAACCAAACCAGCGATGTAAAGGGCGCTGGCGGGCCAACGCCACGGACGACGATCGTGCCACGGAGGCCAAGCACAAGCGCGAGGTTCAGTGACGATTGCACTCCACGCCGGCTAAACAGTTTCTGGGCACGACTGCGAGGTTCTGGAGGGAGTTCGTGGAGAACCCGTTTGGCGTCACGTGCGCCGTGTGCGACCGACTCTGGTTCCCTGGAGACGTATCCACGATCGGCGGCCTGTCGGACGAGAAGAAGCGGGAAATGGGCGCTTGCGCGTTGCGCCAGTGTATAGAGTACAGCTCCGCTGGTCTTCCTTCTTCACGAGAGTGGAAAGGCTGAACATTTTTCTGTCAATACCTGTGGCCGCCCATTAACGGGCCTGGGGGAAAAACGCCGAGAGTCTGCATTGGCTTGGTAGTTCCACACGGGCCTTTGTTGAGAATCTGAATAAACTTTTCAATTCTACGTCAAAGTAACGGTCGATAACTGTTTTGGCCAAGCCCATTTTCTCGCCAGGCCTTCGTCTTTGAAGTGGCCGCTACTGAGCGCTGCCGCCAGTAATTCCTGACACAAAATCATCTTAATGCCGCAAACCCATCGTCAAAATGCAAAACTTGAGGGACTTGGCATTAATCTTTTATTTCTAAATGAACGTGAATTCTGTTGTGGCATATGCAGTCGAAGGATACGAGCTTACGGAAACAATATGAAGCAGACGGTAACCGTTAAAATGCAGACTGAAACGAAATTTATGCTGAAAACGTTTTTAGGACACTCATATTACAGAAACATGCCAGAAAAGATATTGGTGAAACGCAAGAGGGGCTCATTAAATTGCAAATAATTTATTTGTAGCGTGTGACATGGTGTAAAGATACAAGAGCCCACAGATGCAGACGACATCATGCGCTTCCACTTTGAAGCCGATCACAGGGCCAGTCCTAGTGCGGTGGCTGTACTTGTTTGGCGCTGGCACTACATGACACCTGCACTCCTCTGATCTTGGACAGAACTAGTTCAGAACTTACTGGGCAAATCGAACAAACCTCGCGTTAAAATTATTTTGCGTTCTCATTTACAGTGTAGACCGCATATAACGTATGTCGCGGGAGTCGCGAAAATCCGCACTTATAGCGGTACCGCGTTATAACCAAAACATCAATTTTTCAGGCCAAAATACATGCCATGAGACAACTTACCTTTGTAAAAGAATTTATTTTATGTTAGATGAAAAATAAAGCTTAGTTTGAGGAAAGTCTTTATTTTACCAGACTTAGTACAGTTCTGTCTCAAGTGTGGCACACATTTTGAAAGAAATGAGCGGCTTTTGCCTGGCGCAGCCTTTTAGCGGCGTCGCGGGTTGCGGATGGACGTTGCGAGCGTTCAGGATTGCTAAACCTAATCACTTTTCTCCGGAGATGAAAACTCGTGAAAATTCGCATCCTTCATACGGTACGCGCCAGTAATACATTGAACTTGAGCACACGCATGAAACGCGCCAAATAAGAAATCCGGGCGATGTTCGAGGGCACAAATGCAAGAAATCACCACTGTAGTCGAAGTAAACAAACGCGACGACACGGGCGTTTCTGCCGTCTTGAGAGCGCCGCCACGACATCGCCGCACGAGTAGGTGGATCTTCCCTTCTAGTACGTGCTGGGTTATCATAGCACAAACAACGAAAATTCACAGTCAAGGATAGCGCTTTTACGCGGAACGATGAGATGAACGCCGTCTACGACGACGATCACAACCGACGCCATGTTTGCGAATAGAAGCAGTCGGCCCGCGACCGGCATGCAACGCGCGCGAACACTTCTCCTCAACCTGTGATTGGTCTGTCGATGCGGTTGTTTGTTTCCAACGCAGCGGAGGGACGCACGCACGTGAACGACACGTGCGTGCGTCCTTCCGTCGCTATGACAACTGAAGCCTCTCTCTTCGCTTCTCTGAGCAACCTCCTTGCCCCGCGAGAGCCGCTTGCGCCTCGCGCCGTTATCTAGTGTCGCACGGGGAAGCGTGCTCGCTGCTCCGGTCGTCGGTGCGGTCGGCGGGCTGTGCCAGAAACCGCACTATAACCGGTATTTCCCTTCGCGCGCCTGCATTTTAAGCGGTATGTAACTACATGGAGTTCTATGGGAGGTGAACCGGTGGCTTAAAAAAACCGCGTTATACCCGGTCCTGCACTATAAGCGGTTACGTTGTAAGTGGTCTATACTGTACAGTCTTGAACAAAAATGCGAACGACGGAGTGACAGCCTCTCGCCTCCTTTGCGTCACTCGACGGTTTTCCAGTGGCAGCTTTCGCGCAGCCTGTAAAGCTCTTCGAGAGTAGTGACGGTGCCAAGTGGCCGACACTTTCAATAAATTAAATTCGCAGCTACCTGCTTCAGCTCTGCACCACATGCGGTGCTAATCGCAGAGTTGAAGATGCAGCATGTGTGTTTAAAATGCCCAGTGATGGCACAAGGCAGAGTCCAATCTTATATCGATATTGCAGTATAATATCACAATTTTCCCAGAAGTGTGTGAAAAGTTATTTTTGTGTGTCCTCATGGGGCAGTCAAAACTCCTCTCAACATGACGAAGACTTGGCAATTAGCGCCGCACGTTGCGGTAAACTGAAACAAGTCGACACAAATTCTATTTACTCATTGGGCAGGCCACTTGGTACCGTCACTGCTCTCGAAGCGTACCTCCAGCTCCGCGAGAGCTTCCACTGACTGCCGTTAAAGGGAAACTTCGTTCAGTTCTGAAGATTTCAGGATAATGAGTGATTTTGCATTAAAAAGCATAGTAAAAGACACTGTCATTTGCTTCGCAAAAAAATAGGATATATATTGTAGGAGCGAATTTTTTTTATCAAAACGGATACTTCGGCTTCGTCCGGCAACATTGGCCATGGCTATAACATGGTATGAGATGTCACGTGATCCTCTACGCAACGACGGGCGGGATTGGAGTGGGTGTGTGCCAGGCGCTAGTGTGGTCTGCACAGCACTCTTCACCATGTCTTGGTCTTTACGACATTTGACGTTGTCTACACAACTGCAGCAGAGGTCTGCGCACGCAGTGTCCGTAGTGTGGACGAAGCTCCTTCACAGGTGCATTACGCCAGTCACTTGGACGCCGCTAAGCGCCAAGAGGAAATGTTACTGACGTCGCCCGTTATGCTTGCCCGGAGAAGTAAAAACAAGCATAAAGGGGCAATGGTGATGACGTTTATAGCTCAATGTTGGCTATTCCCACACCATAGCCTTGACTGTACTGTTTATTTCGCCTCGATTCTCTCGCTAGAGTCAGCCGATTTCGGCAACTTGGTGAGTTCTAAAGTTTGCCGGACCATTTAAGAAATATTAAGACAGAACTAGGTCATACTATTTGACGTGTGGTCTTCGTAGATGATACTCAAGAGAACTGCATTGTTTTTTCAAAAACAAGAATGAAGCGGAGTTGCCCTTTAGGTGGCGCGAGAGGCTGTCGGTCTTGATCGTTCGCTTTTCGTTCAGGACTCTGCATTGTGCCTAGTGTCTTCTGTCGACTATTGCATGTTGTCATCATTAGTTTTCATTCTCGTTAGTTTCTTTGTACTGCACGAATGTGCCAAAGTTCCCATGCGCTTTCATTTATGCCTGGCGAGTTTTAAGTGTTCTGTAATGTCTTGTTAGCTAAATCTTAAATTTCAAATTGAAGTGTAGTAATCCACCTTAGGTTGTTCATTTTTTCATACATGCACATTAATTTCTGCATTTGCATGCTTATCTAAGTTTATTTTGTTTTTCTTCGTTTATATTTACTCTTTCTGGCCCTTGAGAGTGCAACAGATCACTAATCCGGCCCCTTAGCCAAAAAGTTTAGAGACCCCTGTCCTAGATCATATTTTTATTTTTTTTTACTATGGTCCCGAAATGCATCAGTGGGATTCTACTATATTTGTCGCAGTTGCCACTGCATGGGTGCAGTGTTAAAATACGAGCGCATTTTACTCGTTTGTAGGATATGTGCACTTACCAGTTTGCCTCCCGCCATTGAGGCCTCCTCGTTTCGCGAGGTCATTCAGTTTTTTTATTGCAGGCGGAAAACAACCCTGTCAAGTTCCGCGTAGAGAACTCTTGGGGCGACGACAGTGGAGATAAAGGTAAACACTTTTGGGCTGCGAGTAGGAATTTCGTGAGGGGGTTCTCCAAGACATTTTTAGTCTCTGTAATTGGGCGAGGGGATGTTGGTTTCATTGTGAACATGGTCGAAACGTTCATAGAAATGGAGCCTTGGGCAGCCACCGGTGTTTGCTGGCATCTTGCTATGCAACGTTGGTGTACTCTTATTAGTGATGCAAAACTACCGAAAAATTGGCTATAAGTACTATCAATAGTTTTTTTTTCAAAACTATTATTAGTATAAAAGAACTATCGATAGTGTCAAAAACTGATGATAGTAGACTGTCGACAGTGCCATCGATAGTATTATCGATAGTCGACTATCGATAGCTGGCTTTCGGTTTATTGTTGATACTATCGAAAGTCTACTTCCAGCAAACTGTCGAGTGTTGCGAAAATAAAAGCGCAACCCAAAAAGGATATGACGACGATTATCTACAGGCGTCGGGCAGACAGCAGGGAGCTCGGGGCTGTGGGGATCCAGTTACTCACAGGGCCGAGCCAATAAAGGTGCTATACCCTAGGAGCACCGTGCAGCCACGCTATCAGGAAGGCGGTTGCCACGCCGGGTCCGTTCGCTGACTGAATTGAGTAGAAGTAGCCACGCCATATCAGACGATGATCCAGATCCAGACCTCGTTTGTTAAAACTAGGGTTCCTTAACCGCACTGTGGTCGAGATAGTGTTGGGTCATAGGCCCCGAAGCGCTTGTCGACGGGAGAGACGAATACATCCTTTATTGTCGTCGGAGGTTGACAATACACATCCTTCAACAATGGGGTCCAAGAGAGCACCCCCTACCACTCAGGCACGGGAAGACTAGCCCGTCGCGCAGACCGGTTTTTCGAGCGAGGAGGAAAAGACCTCTCCGAATGGGATGTGGAAGAGGAGATTGCGAGGGAGAGGGCAAAACTGGTTATCCGCTCTCAAAACGCTCATGTACGACGACGCGACGCAAAGAGGCAAAGGTTGTGCAATCGCGATCATATCAAAGTTGGGGAATAAAGATTTCCGCTGGGAAAAACATGAAAAAGGAGAAAACTAAGCATCAAGTTGCATTCTCATAAACATATTTAGATATATTATATTTAGATACAAAACAGAAATAGCGTTTTTGCTACTTTTCTTGTGCACATATTTTGCATACTCCTGCGGTTCAGATATCAGGCTTTGCAAATTAGTATGCCTGCATTTGTAAAATAAAACTTAAAGTAAAGGAGTATACTTTAAAAGACTCTATTATGCGGGCTCAATATTTTATGAATTTGGCAAATAATTGGGGAATATTTCGCAGGCACGAAATTTTACGAATTGGTGAGGTATGCAATATATATTTTATCATAAGAAAACCTATTGACTGAATGTATTTTGCGTTATTATTCAGGTTGCGATGTTCGTGAAAATTAGATCCAACTTCCGAAAAGTAATCTAGAAGCAAAAAAAAACAAAAAAACTTCAACGGCCTATCAAGACAAAAATATCAATATTTGTTATTCGTGGTTTTTTGGCACTATACAATGCATAGTTTTTCTATAGTTTATTCTCAATAGTTTCTAAGGAGGATATCTGCAGTTTTTCTATAGTTTTACAGCGGAGCTGTGAAGGGCTAGGTTTCCGAAATCGTGTCCGGTACTGTCGACAAAAACACCTCTGGACAGCTACCGCCATCTATAAGTGACGGCGGCAAGCACACAACCAGTATGGTTGCCGCCGTCCCTCGTAGATGGCGCCAACCTTTCCAGCTATCATAGAAGAATGGATAGTTGGGCGGCACGTTGGTGTGAATTCATTGTACGAAACAGCGCGAAGAACAGATGACGACAAAGAAGCACATGTAATGAGCGAAGCCTCGTCACGTGTGTTTTTTCATCCTCGCCTGTTTTGAACGCTGTTTCCTACGCTCTTATCAGTTTCGGTTTGGACTTAGGATGGGTCGATTGCATGCCCTTTAGGGGAAAGAAAACTGGCTGCGGAAGGAGTGGCGACGTACGCAGCAGCGTGAATGGGTCCGTAACCGCCGCAAAGCCGCTGTCGCCTCAACTTCCACTGCGTCAAGCGCTTGAGATTCCCTTGCAAAGAAGAGCACATCGCTCGCCTGGAAAGCCGCCGCCGAGAACAGAACCGGCGATGTAAAGGGCGCTGGCGGGCCAATGCCACAGACGACGATTGTGCCACGGAGGCCAAGCGCAAGTGCGAGGCCCGGCGACGACTGCACTCCACGCCGGCTGAACAGTTCTGGGGCGCGAAGTCTGAACAGTTCCGGGGCGCGACGGCGATGTTTCGGTGGGAGTTTGTGGATTACCCATTTGGCGTCACGTGCGCCGTGTGCGACCCTAGTGCGACAGACTCTGGGTCGCCGGAGACGTACCCACGATCGCAGCGTGTCGGAAAAGAAGCGGGAAACGGCCGCGTGCGTGTTGCGGCAGCATATCGAGTGCAGCTCTGCTGATCTTCCTTCTTCACGAAAGTGAAAAGGCTGTCTGTTTTTTTTCGATAGGTTTTAGATTGTTCCTCATTAGTCATTTGGAAGTCCCTAATTGCAGTGGCAATTTTCTTCGAGCTTCACAAGATTTTCTGGATGGACTGCCGACGTTCTTGGTCAACTAATAAAATGCGATCAATAGCTTTATGCTAGTACGCTATCGATAAATTTATGGTAGTCGAGCATTGATAGTATGTTATCGACAGTTTCACGATAATCTACAATCGATAGTATACTATCAATAATTTCACAATGGTTGACTATCGATAGTTTACTTAGTACTCTCGGTAGTTTTGTACCACCAACTCTTTTACCCGGCGTTTCATGAAACGCCGATCCAAATTTTTGTAAGAACTATGCATCTCATAGAAGTAAGATTGATGCCGTCTCTGTCCCAGTCGTGGGGCTTATTTATCGAGGCACACAACATTTACAATAAAATCTTTTTTTAAGATAAGTGAGTTGGCATGTGCTACAGTACAGACGGTAAAGGATCGTAGATCACTCACAACTGTGAATATTGAAGCTAGGTGAATTACGTTGCAAATTCTATTACTCTGCAAAGGAAACATGACTGTTGTTTCTATGCTAGTGAAATATCACTTAAGAGGCTGGTCTTGAAATGGTGAAAAGTTGGGGAAAAGTTCTTTTTGACCAAATGTATTTTCTCATGTCTAGACATACCCACCCAGCTCTCTGCAAAATATTATTGCTAATTTTTAAATAGAAAAGAAAAATATGAAGTCTTAATTTTCTATTAGCATTCAGTAGGAATACAGTCGAGCCAGGTTCTATCACAACCGGAAATTTCGAATTATTGTTTATATCGAATAGTCCAAACATCTTCTTGAAAATCGCATGTAATAGTATAGGGCGTTGTTTTTTGTATCGAACTCCGATGGCAAAGACACTCGATATAGCGAACTAATATGGCCCCTGGTCGCTCTACTCCCACGGTCGTAGTGCGCGGGTGGCGAGCACATAGCTCGCAATGCGGGCCTGGCAGACCACCAAGCCAGCACACGTGCTCAAAAATATGCAAAAAAAAAAAAAAAGTAAAAAGAAAAGGATAAAGAAAATGAGGAGACTGCCAAAAGCAAGGGAAAGGGCACGCGCGTATGTAGGGAAGGCAGGGAGTGCTCGCTGTTGGAACGGTAGCGTGTGCTCTTTCCCCGAACACCGCTGTCGCTGCACGACTCCTTAGCCCCAAAATAAAATAAGCGAAAAAAAAAATATTTCGTCAAGTTGAGTGGGTTGACAACAACGGTTGAGCAATCACACTTGAACGCCTTATCTTTGTTTACCTTTTTCTTTCCCCGTTATTGCTGTACCCACTTTTTCTTTTCTTGCGTTTTTTTTTTTTTTTGTTGCCTTAATTTAGTGAAGTTTCTTTTTTTTTTTCTTTTTTTGCTTGCTTAACTTTATTCTATGGATCGAAATTTTTTTTATCCAACTCGCTTTTTCATTTTTTTTAAATTTTCGTGTCTTTTTGCAGGCGCTGTGTGGATGTCGTGGTAGACGTAAACAATCGCAAACACCGTTGCTAAATCTGGCGGTGTTTGTGATGTTCACCAGCTAAGCTCTACCGTAATAAGTGGCTCTTAGAGGCTCGATTTGGTTAGGGCCAGTTTATCACGGCCTAAGGTATTAGCAGAGATGCGCGGAAATTTCAACTGGGAGCTTAAGTTAACATATTTTTGTATAATAAGTTATCGATAAATCAAACTATTTTACGATCCCCTTTGAATTCAATATTTCTGGGTTCGGCTGTACGCATACTTCAAGGGCTTTTTTTCTCTTTTCACACTTTTTTCACAAGTACTTTTTCACAAGTCACAAGTACACATGTTTCTGAAGTTTGTCTTCGACAATATGAACATGTTTGTTGCCATTTTAATCGGGAAGAATGGAGCTGTGCGGTGATTCTGTTTTTATAGTCTCCAACTTAAGAGTTCTATCCAATTAATTATTTTCTTAAATAACAAGAAAGCATGTCTTTTACACTAATACAATCGTTTCTTAGTAACATCTAGGGTTGTAAAAGTTACTTCAAAAATGTACCTAAGATACAGTTACAGTTACTCATACGAAAAGGTACCTAGGTATGTAACTAGGTACTCACTTAAAAAGTACCTAGGTACAGGTACAGTTACTTTAACGATACTTTATTTTCCCCGAATTCGTGAATATATATTGGAAGTGAAGCTTTTTATACGAAGGATAAACACAAAAACGAGTTAGATAAAAGTGCTTTATTGGTGTCAATGCGAGAAATCAGGAAAACCGTATTCACATGAGCCGGCGCTGACGTCGAAGTGCCCAGAATACGTCGGCCGCATGAAGAAACGCATGAGTCGAGAGCATATGCACGTAACCTTTGCGACATCAAGCGAAAGGCTTCAAGCGTCCTCGTTTGTTTTTTCTTTCGCTAGTTTGAAGAAAAAGGAGCTTTTTTTTTTCTTTCGGAACTTTCTCAGTTTTGATAACCGCCAAGTTTGAGTCCGATTTATTCAGTGGAAACTGAATTATATACACCGTGTTACATTTTTTTACGGTTGTAATTATAATTCATTTTCAATTATATTTTATATTGTAATTATGGCAGAAGAGAGCCACCACCAGGACAAGATATAATCAACAGAAACTGTGCACATCTTTCAAGTTATCTTTTCTCTTGTATAGTTCTCAGAAGAGCTTCAAACACGCAATGAAGTCGATTTTGGTTTGAGATGAAGGAAGCAGGTCGCTATTTTCCCTAAACGTAGTTCCGAAGCGACTCAATAAATTGGTGTCGCTTGAACTGCATCGCTAATCCACCGTTCGCTCAAATGAACACCGCCATTCGCTAAAGCGTCGTTCGATGAAACATCAGGGCCGGGGCTCCGTTCGCCAAAACGTCGTTCGATCAAGTCAGTGCCTCCCAGGTCGTACCTAACTCAACGTTAATCACGGCACATGGTAGTGTGCTAATACTTCAGGATTTATAGCATCTACCATTTTGATAAAGTGAATAAAAAAATACCTGTAAAAAGTAACTTCACTTAGTTACAAGTTACTGGAAAATGTACCTAAGACACAGATAGATACCGAGAAATGAAAGTACCTAGGTTTGTACCCCGGGTACAACAAAAGTACCTAGATACCGATTTCCAGTTACTTGTACCTAGGTACATTACAACCCAGGTAACATCATCCTTTCAGGTGAGATCTAAAATAGCATCACCGCACAAATTGCACCTTTGTGAATGCAGTTGCATTAAAAATTTTGATAATTTACAAATAATTTTTCTACGACACGTAACAATTGACCTAATCAAATTAGACCGATCTCCCATAACTCGGGTTCTAGTAAAGATATTAAATATCTGATTGCATATTTGGAATAGGTGTGAGATGTTGTATTAGTGGATATTATGATAAAATTACTCTAAAGCCCCGCTTCCCCCCTTAAATTAGTTTCTTGTTGTTTTCTTATGCTTCTGCCTTTCATCTTTTTTTTTCTTACATCTTTCTCAGAAGAAATGTTTCAGATTATTGAATCACCATTTGTGGTATACCTTTCAGGATTTTTAATCATTTCCTACTTAATTGTTCTCTTTGCCTTTCTCAGGATACATCATCATGACTCAGGAATGGTTCCGGGAGTTTGTGTTTGAAGTGATAGTGGACAGGAAGTTTGCATCTCCCGAGGTGCTGGCCGTGAACGAAAAGGAACCCAAAGTGCTACCGGCCTGGGATCCCATGGGTGCTCTTGCACGCTGTTGATTATGCAACAGGATTATGTGAAAAAGAAAAGTAAAAAAGTGCATTTATATTCTTGCTAGCATCTGCAACTTTACAGAGTTTAACTTTTCATGCTTGTCATGTGTAATTTTATGTCAGCATGCCAGTGTGGAATTGAAGTTTGTTCGGAATGCATGATGTCCTCTTCGGTTATCAGCAAATTTTCTCAGTTTTGTCATTAAAGGGTAAATTATGTTTGCACCTGACACGCTTGTTTCCTTGTTCAGAAGTGAACAATCTTCCTCTGCTGGTATGAGGCACAGGTTGGTGTGGCACTGATGTGCCAATTCGGGGATATGTTGAGCTCTAGTGCAGTTTGATTCACAACAAAAGTAGCTTTACAACTTTAGGAGAAAACGATTTTGGGAAGATGAAATATCCAGAAAGACGAGAGAGCAGAGATGTTATGACCACCCATGGGCCTGCATATTCTAGTTAAAATAGGATCCTATCTTGCAGGACTTGTGGAATGAGCTCAAGCATAGATAAAATTAGAAGAGTGCATTGGTAAAACACACATTCTTGGTCTTTAGAACGCTAATGGGTGAACAACGGGCAACTGCAAACGAGACTGAGTGCGGTCTCATGTTTGTAGTTGCCTGTTGTCCACCACCGGTTGGTGTTAAAAGAACCAAGAAGATAAGAGCTCGAGCAGCCGCCGCCTGTCTGAAAAGGGAGCTCGAGGATATCTTCTGGAGCAACAAACTGGGGTGCAGTTTAGATCATGCTATACTCAGTTTCACTTAAAGTGTGAGCATAGAAACTACAAGGGCGAGCTCCGGGCTTTCAGCGTCCCTGCAAAGCATGCACACTCGTGCAGTGCGAGCACTGTTCAGGGCCACATGGTTGCGCTTGTAGCATCTACTGCGTCTGGACTTAAACTGAAACGAAGTATAGCTCGACTCTGCGAAGCCAATGGGAGGTCCCTGATTGGATACCAGGCCCAGGCGGATTTTTTCTGTCATGCACCAGTCGCTTGGCTGTGTTTGGAGAGTTGTGTTTGTCTTTTGTCCCCCCTCCCCAGGTGTTATCGTTAATCTTGCGCAGCTCGCTTGCACCTTTGCATTGCCCGAAGGTCATCCTGGTGATATCCCACACTGCCTGGTGATAGTTAGGGGGAGAAAAATTGGTCTTAAAAGGGCGGGAGAAATCACGTTTTTGTCTTTTAGGCTAGGTGGCGCAAGTTACCGCCCGTTACAAAGGGAATAGCCATTAACACACGGCTCTGCATTAACATATATCCATCCATCCGGTCGAATTTGGTTAAAAGGTCGAAGGTTCGTCGAACCGGTTCGACTCAGTCGAACCCCGAAAGTTCGAGCTAAAAATCCGGTTCGACAAAAGTTCGCGAGACCCCTAGTTTCTTCGAAAACTCCGTCGGCCGCCATTTTCCCATTGAAATTTTCAGAAAATCAGATCGGGCTGAAACCTTGGCATCTGGTTGTGACCAGTGTTGCCAATTTAGCGGTTTTCCCGCTAAACTTAGCGGTTTTTGGTACTGTTTAGCGGGATAAATTATTGTTTTGCGGGCGGCGGGATTTTTAGCCGGTTTTATGTAATCTTGGCGGTTTTTTAGAGGTATAGAAGTTTTATATCAATTTACTGTCGACTGTGCACCTTTCATAAATATAATAATAAGAATAATAAGCCATAGTCGTCTTCGCTGACTCTCAGTATGTTCTGGTTTGTGAGAGTAACGCCTGTGACGTCATCAAAACATTAAGACGTCGAATATTGAAACACGCCTCCCCGTTTTGTGCGCGTACGTTTTAGCAGCATGAATGTTCCAATTTTCCTTTGACGTTTTTGTCACTGTTTCGTGAAAGGGGCGCGGTGAAGTACGCTCGAAAGTTTAGAAAAGACTGGCTATAAGCCCCAAACTTGAAGACTGGCTACTGGAGGTTCCTGGTAACAGCAGACGAGCCAGGTGCCGCTATTTCAAAACGGAACTATCTGCGAAGAATGTGGATTTGGTCATGCACGCTGCAACGAAGAAGCATGTTTCGGCCGCTGCACCTTTCTCCTCTGGTAGCAGACGACTCTTCAAGTTGAACGGGTCTGACTAGTCACGCACCGCTGAAGGGTCCCTTGCCATGTTCGGATCACCTGGGTGAACTGTGGCGTGGCGTGACAGATTTCTAGTCAAAACAAAAGGAAAGCTTTTTTTTTTTTCAAATGGCATTGATATGATCTATACTGTTATTATACCTTTGTCAAGAATTAAAGCAAAACATAGTTCAAAAAGTGTTTTGTGCTGTGTTTTGGATTTAGCGGTTTTTTAGCGGTTTTCGGGGTTCTGACTGCGGGTTTTCAATTTTTGAGTTGGCAACACTGGTTGTGACCTCTAGCTTTACCTTTGGGCTATGGTGCCTGGATCGCGTCTTTGACTGGTGTGTTTAGCGTCCTATCCCGCCCATACATCAAAAGTGGTCCCGATGTGGCAACAAATGACGCGAGTGTCATGCTGTTGCCTGTCGCGATCCTGGCGGTTGGCCGTAGAAATGCTGGCGAAAAGCACGAGCGAACGCGAGTGTCGCTGTCGTCACGGCGTCCCGTTAGGCGTCCCAACTTCCGGCTGCACAAGCTTCCGTGAACTGTCACAGTGGAAAGCGACCTGCAGCAGAACAGGCATCTGCTACAGACACCACAGCTGTTGGGACGCCGCCAGGGTCGCGACCGGCGAAAGCATGACACTTCTATGACGTCATCAGGCGGAAATCGAGGGACCACTTTTTTGGCCACGGTAAACACACCAGTCGGAGACGCGTTCCAGGCACCGTACTTTGGGCGAAGAATGAGCGTTCGGCGACGCCTAGTTTATTTTTGCGGTAAAAAAGACCGTGTAAATTTTCTTTTGTGAGACCCTGTATTTAGCGACCGCGAAGCGTTGGTCTGGCAACTTCCGCGCACCGGCTTTTGTTTGCTTGTTTCGTTTGCGTCTGTCATGGCGTCCTCCATGTGGCCGGCAAAGCGCGGTCCTTATCACTTCAACTGAACAGATACTCGCGAAGTTCTCTCGGTGCCGACGTATCTGGTCCAGGAGTGAAGCTATGCGGGAAGTGACTCGCATCGCAAAGCATGAGCTTCAAACGCGAGCAAGTTCTAATCGATTCGATCGAGTTCAGCGTTGAGGCCACAGGAGACCGCTTCTGGGTTACTCGCCATTCGGTCACCCTACCTTACGAAGACATCTCACCGCGTTTTGAGAGAACTCTTTGTCTCGCACCGGTTGCAACCAACTCGGACGTAAACTCCGCCGAGTCTGGCCCAGAGACGCCACTTGCATGGCCGCTAGTCCGCAACTCTGCCTGGCCGGCGGGAACGCGCTTGGTGGACGAAAGGCTGTTTTGGAGCACCATCATCGAACTCTCGAGATCTCACAACTACAGGAGGCTGTGCTTCCAAGCAGTGCAGAGAAGGTGCCGACGAGAACACTGCCTCGGCGGCCCGTTGCATTTGTCTTTCCGCATGCAGCTAGTGCCTTGGAACGCAGTTATGGATAAATCGTGGTAAGCAGAAAAGCTACTTTTCTTTTTTATAATTGAAACGATTGTTGGGAATTGCGACAACATTGCTTGACTGATTTATTCATCGCTGTTAAGAGTTGTTGCGAGTCTCGACAGAGCCTCTGTTCAGTGTTCGGTTCTTTGACCAGGGACGTAAAACTGGGCTATCTGGTGGCTGAGCAAGTGGAGTTGGAAAACGCGATGGCCTGGCTGTCGACACTCGGTGGCGCCTACTCTGCTCTGGGTGATAACAACGTCAAGTTTGTAAGTAAAACTTCACTGGCGGACCTAATCCGCTGCCGTTTTCTTCCTTCTGTTGCCCTGCAGGCTGTTAGTCATGTAGCCATGTCACATGATCATTAGCGCTAAAGAGAGCCCACGGGACCCGAAACTGGCAGTAGTATCTGATCCGTGCATGCAAGCAATTTCTAGGAAGTGAATGTAATACATATACACACACATAAAGCATTGAAGAACCTCAAGATACAAGGCATCCCATACACTTGCTCCTCTATTAAAGTTGTGCTCCAGTGCCTTTCCGTCCTCAGTACAGATAGAAACAAGGAGGTTATAAGTACTAGGAGGGGCCACGTTGCAATATTGGTGAAGCCTACCGTAGTCATAAAAAGTTTAAACGATGTTGTGACCAACGTGACCGTAGATCTCTCTGGCAATTGGTGTGCGTGACATGTCACGTGTGAGATGGATGGTTGATTGTAGAAGGATTCCTTGCAGGCTTGCGCGCGCTCCGTCTGGTAGGTTTTATCAGATCGAAGGCTAGCTACGGTCACGTGATGTGGTCACATTTGCTTGATAAGTGAGGAGAGTAAGGAGGAAAATGAGCAAGAGGCGAGGCGTCAAGGGAGCATGGCTTGTAGAGGCTACGCAGCTGACGTCATGCTCTCTCCTACCCTTCTATACACCTTGGATAGAAAATATAGGGAAGTGGATACTTTGCCGGCAGTGTCCTCAGATTGGCTGGCTACTGTCAAGGGATGCCCAACTCTGCCAAAACTTTCTAGGCACTTACTATGGCATTTCAGAAGAAAGGGTTGTGTGTGTTCACATCTTTAGCAAATACTTTACTAAAGGAATAATGGACATGTCCCGAGAATACATAGAAAAATATGACAACAAAGATCCGAGGTAATGCGTAACGGTGGCAGCATTAAAGGGCAACTCCTCTCAATTCCGAAAAATTTAGGCTTACATGTGATTCAAATTCACAAAGCACTACTAAACAACTCCACGTCTTCGGATTCGCGAAATGTGGAATTTTATTTGTGTAATACTAATTTAAACATCCGCTGATACCGAAACCGAAACTTTGGTTGCGTCAGGCAACATTGTCTCGGGTTGTCAGAGTCATGGCCACGTCACGTTGAACCACGTGGTCTTGTGACGTTCGGGAGCGAGCGAGAAACAGGACACGCGACGCGCGGGCAGGTTGGGGTAGGTCGCTTCGCATGGCGTGGACGGTAATGGCCCGGGGGAGAGGGGGAAGGGGAGAAGACGAAAGAGGAGAAGGGGAGCAGAGAAACAGATCGATAAGTGCGCAGGGCAGTGCAAACTAGCGCATCCGCGTTACGGTGAGCACGTGAACGCCCGGTCAGCCAACACCGGGAGGAGAAACTCGTGACGTCATCGTTCAATTTCGCTCTGAGAAGTAAAAACAAACAAAACGTGAGAATGACTTAGTCATGTCTCTGACGTAGTGTCTCAATGTCGACTGCTCCAACTCCGTGGCATTGACTGCGCTGATGATTGTGCCTCGCGCCGCACGCTAGAGTTGGCAGATTTCGGCGACTTTGCTCGCTTAAAGCTTTGCTGGCCAGTTTATTAAATATATAAACGGAATTAGATCGTAATATTTGACATGGGGTCTTCCTATATGATACTGAAGAGGGTTACATAGTTTTCTAAATATCAAAAATCAAGCGGAGTTGCCCTTTAAGTATAAACCACATGTATGCGATTTGACGAGCGACGAGACAAGCAATGGCAACCTGCTTCGCTGTCACTGAGGCAAACCGCATGAAAGCGACGGGAACAAGCAACCAAGGCAATGAGCAACGTTTTCTAGAATTTCAGAAACCGAGCAACACTAAGAAATCTCCGTCACTGTCGCCTTCGCTCATCTCATCGCTTGCTAAATCGCTTACATGCGGTTCAGCCTTTACCGTCTTCACATCCATAACTCCGTCAACCGCACCGCATTCTGAGGCGTTGCCTTCACATGCTCTGGCAGCAAGAGGAGGCGGGTAGGGGGAGAGGCATCGGCGAATAAGCCACTTCACCAGGGTTGTTCTGTGGCGCTGCCGTCGTTCCGTCTAATGCAAATGAGGAGAGTGTCCTGTGTTCTCTTAGCAAAGTATTTGTCTTTCGTCAATGGCGAACGTTGCTATACCTTTGATTGGATTGCCACAGAAACTCTGCCGCCTTGTCTGCTTTATAGTGCAGAAGGAGGACGGTGTGGGGCTTAGGTTATGTTGCCCCAGTGTTGAACATCACAGGCTTTAGGAATCCTCCAATTTGCTTTCACTACTGAAGCCACCGTCTCCCGTTTCTCCGCCCGCTTAGATTTTACGGCACACCTGTGAGGGTCACATGCGCCGCAGGGCCCGTAGATTTGGTTCCTCTTTCAGAGGCATTTCAGAAGGAATACGAACCTTCTAAAAAATCGCCGAATGAGTGCATGCTACGGGACTTGCGGAGTCTAAACTGTAAGTAGGTGCCCAAAGCAGCCGGCATTTTTTTTTTCCAGGTCTGTTACCAGCAGATTACGGCAGTCGTCATGTGATTGTATAGCCAGCCAATAGGGGAGAACTGCCGGCAGTATTTTTCCTGGGTTGTTGTGCCGGCTGCCTGCAAAATATCCACTTCCTATATTTATAGGTTGTCATGCATCTGTTGTAAATACAAACAGCAGCAACAAAAAACATATATTTTTATAAATTTCAGTAAAGTTTAGGCTTTTTTGTTTTTCCATCATTTTTAGCTAGTTCTTCCATCTCCAGGTGTCCATCGGTAGTGTTTATTTTGCAGAAAGTGGTTGCAATTCGTAAATTGTCAAGCGGCAGGGTGTGCAGCCCTTCTGCTGAACAAATTTTCACAATGTTAACTGTATTTTATGTCGCTGGTGTGGTCCTCTCAATGTTGCATTGAGGAGAACAAGGACACGGCAATATGATCTTTTTGGTTTTGGAAGTGTTAAGAAAAACAAAGACACTAAAATTTGAACAAAAAGTAAGGGCGCAAACGAGCTGGTGTACATTGCACGTGGTTGAAAAAACCCAGAGACTGCATTGCACGCGGTTGAAAAATCCCAGAGACTGCGGGTAAACGACACAACACTAAAAAGTAGAGACTTTTTAGTGTTGTGTCGTTTACCCGCAGTCTCGGGGTTTTTTCAACCATGTACACTAAAATTTGTTGATCAATATCCTAGTTTAAGCAAACTAGCAATTGAGAAATACCTCTGCTCAGAAAAATTTAACTTCTGTTTTGGTGTTCATTTGGGAACTTGCTGTAGCAGTGGTTTGTCCTTTCACAAGCTGGTTTCACTTTATATTTTTTTTTTTTTTTTTTTATTTCTGAAATTTTAGTTTGTTTTTTGTGAATTGTGTTGCAGGCGGAAGCCGCCAGTCAGGTGTCGGTGCAGCAGCTGAAGCTGGCACTGAGAATAGGAGATCCAGCAACCCTGTGCCGTTGCCGTATCTACATTGCCATGAGCCTGCTGCAGAGGGGCTACTTCCGCTCCTGTCGAAGGCTCCTGAGGTGGCTGCTTTGTCTCGTTTGTCCTGCCTCCATAGTTGGGGCCCGTTCGAAGTGTGATCTAGAATGTGGATCGGTTCTGCATCGTTAAGCTTGAAAGAGTGAGACAGTTGAAGGGAAATAGGCAGTTCATTGGACCTCCAATCAAAAACATGGTGAATAATGTGTGCGAGAAGGTGCCCTATTTAAGAGGTACGCTTTCCAGTCGGTCTCAGTTAGGCCTGTTCTCAGTTAGTCGTTTGCCTGTGAGCCTCTGCCATAGAGAACTAGCTGTAACAGACCCTAGTGCGTTTGTGCACCACAGCTCGGGGCTCGTAGCAACAGAGCTCGCGCCATAGAACTCGGGGATCCTAGGCTCGCTCACCATCCCTGTCCATTTCGGTATGGATGAGCATTGTACCGGTTTGGGGTCGTCTTATCACTACTGTTGGAGGTATGTTAGCCCCTTAACCGTTTTTAGCCTTCAAAATCAAGCTCCCAGCCACAATCAAAATAGGAGGCAAATATTAAAAAAAAAAAAAAATAAACAGTGCTGCCATCTTTTGGCAGAGCCTCAAACTAAGCAGTGAGCGAGCCTGGTTCGTCCAAAATAATAGACCATTTGCAGTATTCCCGAGCGCCCCGGCCCGCTCTCAAGGAATCATGGGAACGGTGTTCCTTCAGCTCCCTAGTGATAGCTAATTTTCGATCAGCTTCATGGTTACAGAGTTTTCGAGCATAATTCGTGGTCACCCTGAACAAGCACCTGATATACCCCAAGGACCTGCCATATGACTTTTAAAATTGCTCGTCAACGTCAGCATTTTTGATACTGCGCATGCGATCCACCTTTCAACCTGGCTGAGCTGCAGAAATCTCTTACAATATTATCATTCTCGTGGTTGTTGTTTGAGCAGGAATTGCTTAAAAAGCCGATAATGCACAACAACAAAAACCAGGATTTAGCTCAGAGTCTGCGGGGCTGTTTATAGCATTTTTAGCGTTTCTAACTTAATATCAGCATGATAATAATGTAAGAGATTTTTGCAGCCTATCCAGGTTGAAGGGTGGACAGCACAGTATCAAAAACGCTGACATTGAGAAGAAATGTTAAAAGTGATATGACAGGTCATCAGGTGCTTGTTCAGGGTAACTCCGAATTACACTCAAAACCTGTATAACCAAGAATAGAGTTAAAATTACCGATCACTAAGGGGCTGAAGGAACACCGTTTCCATGATTCTTTTAGCACGGGCCGGGGCACTTGGGGTTATAGCAAATGGTCTATTGACTGCAAGAACGGGGGAAGCAGGCAAGCTATACTTGTCCTGCATGGTTTGGGGACATCTCTATGTTAACGAGGTAGGCTCGTCCAAATTGGTTAAAGGGACACTGACAGGGTATTTATGTTCGCCGAGGTTTTTAGTTGTACGTGACATATGAGAGCCCAACTACCCAGAGCAGAATTTGCGGCTCGAAATTCAGTTTCTTTCTGCCCGAAAACCGCCGATCGTGATCTGACCAGTTTGAGTCGTGCTCACTCTCTTTTCCGTGGTCACGGGCCGTTTTCTAAAGGTTAGTCACGACCACCAAATTTAATCAAAGTCGTGGGTACACAGCCAATATAAAAATAGAAAAGAAAATATGAAACCCATTTTTTGCGGTTTCCAAAAAACTGCATATATGTTGATTGAAAAAAAAAAAAAAAAAAAAAAGGTTGCACAGACAATTGGAAGCATTCTGTGCATTTACTGGATAATTCTCAACATGGCGTCGTTTCGCGTATCGTGTGACTAGCGGATGGCAGAGGACGACGGGCGTGGGATCTCTACTTCAGAACTGTCGTTCACAGTACCGGCAAATTCTGTCTTCCTTCGAAAGAGAAATTTTGAACCGATCAAAAGAATTGACATTCATCCCGTATGACATGCCTGACCAGCAAGCCGATTGCACGAAATCGCTGAGCCGTCGTCCCTTCTCATGGTTGAAGACATTGCTCACTCAAACGTCAAGCACAAAGTGCGTGCTTCAAGTTGAACACGCTCGCGTACGGTTTCTTTACTAGGTGTAAATGTGGCCAATGCGTGGTGCTGTCCGACTTCAAGCCGGGAGTGCATGTAGTGGAGGGAAATCGGCAGCAAACGTTCCGACATACAGTCTACCGGCTGCGAACAAAAGAGTTCCTTCGGTAGCTCAGTGGAAAGGTGTCCACTTCACACACAGCGGGCACGGGTTCAATCCCTAGTGTGGGCGTACCTTTTTTTTTTTTGTCAGACATTTTTTTTTTGCAGTTATCGCTGAAAAAAACAATTGTTGTGGACGATACGTCGCTGGAACTAAATGATATGGGATTCCATTTTTGACACTTGCGAACTCAATGTAGTCACTTTCCACAAAATGAAAGGAGCATATAAATCGGGTAGCGTCCGCTTTCCGAGGCTCCAGTAACTGTTCTACAGGAATTGCAGCCAGCCATTGATCCCGACCCATTGATCTTTCGGAAACTTGTGCACTCTGCCCCACAATGCCACTTTCAGATACAGGACATGTGAGGCAGCTTTTCACGCAACATCTTGGGAGTATTCTTTTCGGAGCCGATCACAGGAATTCACCACGGGCACTCACTACTAATTGCCAACACTTAAATGTACAAAACAACTCATCTTGAAGTACAGAACAGCGAGCAGAACAAACATAACTGCAAAGGAGTTTCACGGCAAACGGATCCCATAACGCATTTCGTCTGCTGCGTGCAAAAGAAAAAAAAATTCACACGGTTGGGTGTAGCCACGTGACTTCCGCCACTCTCTCTCTCTTCTCCACTTCTCCGTGCGGTGCTAGGGTTTCGGTTGCGAGCAGTTCCGTTTTTTTTTTTGGCTTTATTAAAAAAATATGCGACTCTGTAGCAAAATATTAATTGGGTAATATTCCGACACCATAATAAATGGCTTGGCAAAAATTAAAAAAAAAAAAAAAAAGTTTGGGGAGGGGGATGTTGGTGTCCCTTTAAGGGGTTAAAGGTTCAGGTTAGCAGTTGTATCGTTCTGGCTGGATCGGTCCTCCACAGTGTTGGACCATTGTTGCCACGCCTCGAATGCAGACAGACCTTTGGCTTTATAAGCACTCGCACCATCCATATTGTTTTTGCTTGCCAGCTGTCTTCTCACAGTTGTGGATTGTTTCTCAAGGGAGTGGAACATTCTTTCCTCCTAAAGAATTTATTTAGCCAAGACAATTTTCAGTAGAAGTCTTGTCATGCTTTAGTTCATGGGACACATCTATTGAATTCGAACAGTACTGTAAGCCTTGTGCGCGATCTGTTTTGTGACAGTCTCCTGTTGTGAGAAAATGCACCAAGGAATGTCTCCTAGAATGGAAGTCATGTTGAGTGCCTAGTCGTGGAGCGTTTTATAAAGTAATAGTGTTTCCGTTCTGGCTTATCGTGAGGACTGCTGGTTTTTTTTTTTTTTCGACATTTGACAGGCCGTCCCAGTGTGGACCTTTGTGTTTGCCAACAGTGAAAACTTGCAAAAGTCGAGGAATTTGGCCACAATCTTGCAGGAGTCAGAAAAATATTTGCATCAATGTTGCTTTATTGCAGGTGCCTCTAAACGTCTTGGCTAAGGTGCCAAATTGGGAACCTGTCACAGTCTCAAGGACTAGAAAGTAGTTGAGCAATATAAATGAGAAAATACTAAATTAATGAACCTAAATAAGGATTTCAATACAAAAGATCTGAACTAAAGCAAAAAATTAAAAACGAAATGTAAGGTGGATGAATACATACTTTATTTTAAATGTAATATCTTGCTAATTATGACGTCACAAAAAATTGTAGCTCAGAGAGCTTACCAGGCATAAATCAAAGTGCGCATTAACTTTAGCATAACCACACAGGGCAGAAGACTTGTGAGAATGGTAGATCTGCTGATACAGTTTGAAAGAGTTATGACACAAGAAAGTGAAAAGTTAGGCAAGTTGGTTCATAGTCAAATATATAAAAGCTCCAAAACCGACAGGGACAAAGAAGAGTGGAAACAACACAAGGCACACTCGCAGTTGAAGTTTATTTAAGAATTTAATATAGGCCGTTGCAGAACGCTTACTCGTCACAACAATCAACGAAATGTCTTGATAAAATCAAACTCCCTGGGAGGACAAGGGAGGGCTCACTGACGCATTGATTTCCTTTTGCATTATCTCAAATGCTTCATGAACTTCTCGGCACACTTTTGCTTTATATTTCACTAGAATCTTACAACGGCCTATATTATATGTTTTTATAAACTTCACTTGGGCAAGTGCACCTTGTGTTGTTTCCTCTCTTCTTTGTTCCTGTTCTTTGATCTGAATTTTCTGGGTCGCCAAGAGAAGAGAAGGGCACTTTCCTGCCCTTTCCACTCCTCATTTTGCACACTCTTTCCTCACCACCTGTTTCTGCTCCTCTCTTTCTTGCCCCTTCCACTCGCGCTTCCTCACACCACCTGCTTCTTCTCCTCCCGTTACTGCGTGCTAAATTTGTAACACTGGTTGGCATTTTTTTTTTTTCAAAATAGTTTAGCGGTTATGGACTGACTGACCTACACATTTCATTCTTAAGCGGCCTCTGAGGTTGGTTGGCCCTATACACCTTTCCAAAAAACGCTCCTAGGCCGACGCCATGTTACTGATGCTGATGCGGCTGGTGCGACTCTCGCGCCCTCTATCAGCTAGAAATTTTCTGCCACTCTCTGGGACTGAAGACCCGCTCAGCGCGGTCGTCTACCTACGTTTTTGCGGTTTTTCATTCTACGTTTTCTCGCCCCTCTTGAAAGTTTCCATTTAAATTTTTTTATGCGTGCTGCGTACCCTTTTTGTATTATCTTCCATTGTGAGAAATAAGGCTGGTAAGTGCCTGCCATTCAAGCTTTTCTGCTCGACATTCATGGGAAATGAAGGAGGTGAAGGACGTCGAACAACCCTCGACGCGATTTTGCGAACTTTGTTTTCCCCACTCCCAGAGGTAATCTGCGTAGAATCCTCAG